TGTATGTATGTATGTATGTATGTATGTATGTATGTATGTATGTATGTGTGTATGTGTGTATGTGTGTATGTGTGTATGTATATTTCTGACACAGGGTCTCACCATAAACTCTGGCTGGCCAGGAACTTGCCATGTAGACCAGGCTAGCCTTGAACTCATGGAGGTCCATCTGTTTCTGCCTCTTGAATTCTGGGATTAAAGACATGTGCCACGCAACCTGGACAGCCCAACATTTAGAAAAGTAATCGTTCACTTGGAAGAGTACACGTTTGTGTTTCTAAAGCATTCTAAGGCCTGGAGGTACAGCTAAGTGCTAGAATGCTTGCCTTACTTACATGAAGACCTAGGTTAAATCCCTATGGCCTCAATCAACCAACCAACCAACCAACCAACCAGCCAGCCAACCATCCAATCAATGCCTTTTAAAAGCTTGGGCTGTTGAGTAGAAAGTGGAATGGCATGATTAAGTGGAAGAATCACTAATAACCTCTGCTCTCATGCTGTAAGCTCTAAGGCTGGTAGGATCTTCCTGGTGTCTAAAGTTGCCTGATAACCCCAGGCTGCCTCGGGAAGGAGACAGCATTGCTCTCCAGCTAAATTGACTCATGGCTTTGTTTTTCCAAAATGGCAGCAAGGAGGGGAGTCAACGGTAGAGCTTTCTCTCATGAGTTTCCCTCACAGCTTTGTTGGTAGCTAATTACCCGGAGGAGCAAAAAGCAAGCGGTGATTAAAGCCAAACCCGTAGAAGCGAGTGGTGCTTAAGGTGTTTGCCGTGTGTCTGTGGGTCCTTCTTGGCTGTCATCTTTAATATTCGTGGCCTCGATCTTCTAGTCCAGGGAAAGGCCCTGGGTCCTTTTCTGTACTTGTCTTTCATTTGTTGAAGAGTTAGCATTTTTCTAACTCCTGGGATCAAGAGTAGCAGTGCCACAGCAGGGAAGGAAGGTGGGTGACAGAGGTGGGGAGAGAGGAAATGGAATGGTTCTAACTGTGGCTCTCAAATGTATCTTGGTAGCAGCTGTGGTTAGCTTCAAACCTACTGACGATCAAGACAGCTACCGTCCTAGCATGGACAGGGGAGATCTTCTCTAGACCTTGTCCCGCACTGAGTTGCTAATAACAGGTATAGTTGTTGGCAGAGGGGCGCATCAATCTTTATTGAAAACAAGGCCACTGGTACCTGTCCCACGCTCTAGTGGATGACCCAAACCCATGCACAAATGTGTAACACTAACTGCACTTAGTGGATTATCCACAAACAACAACTACAACAACAACAAAGACACAAAGTTGGGAGGAGAGAAGGTATGGAGGATAGATACAATCATACTTCATCGTGTGCATGTATGAAAGTCTTTAAAAATTAAAAAAAAAAAAAAACCAAAAAAAAAAAACAAAAAAAAAAACACAGAAGTGCATGTGAACGCCTGTCTTCTCAGGAAGCCATGTCAAACCCAAGGAAGGTGACAGCGAGCACTCGATGTGGAACCCTGTGAGTTTGCTGGGGTCCTACAAATCCAGACTCCCTACCCTCACAGCCCAGGTCAGGTGATTTCGTTAGTTCATGCTATCTGGGTGCACACCTTTCATCCCAGCACTTGGGAGGTAGAACTCTTGAGTCTGAGGCCAGCCTGGTCTACAGAGAAAGTTCCAGGACAGTCACAAGGACAGCCACAAGGACTACATAGAGAAACCCTGTCTTCAAAAAACAGTATCAAAATGTCTGTAAACCTCGAGAGTGTTAGACAAACCTGTTCACATAGCTTGCGTTTTCAGGTTTCAGACCTTTTATCCTTCGCCAAGCACAGATTTCATAAGTTGCGAGGATCTGACCCATTTTAATGGAGACTGCTCAACCCCCACCCCCAGCCTGTATAGTTAGTGGCAAGAATTCCCAGGTCTGGGAGTGCAAGCGCATCTGTCAGGCGTTTCCTGTTATAGCTGCAGACATGTCTTTGGATTAATCCCAAATCTAGGTCATTTGTCTTGAAGCAGCTAGTGGCCAAGGAGAGGGGAGAGTGAGAAAAGTCGAAGTTTAAGACTTTAAAAAAATATATTTATTTTTATCTCATGTGTATGGGTGTTTTGACCTCATGTACTGTATGTGTGCCTGGTACCCATGGAGGCCAGAAGAGGGCCCCCCGATTCCCTGGAGCTGGAGTTACAAACAACAAAACAAACAAACAATACCAAAAATAACAAACACACCCTTTTATGTGCTGAGTGACTTCCTGGAAGTAAGTGAGGTTTCCACTTAGGAAAAACACTTTGAAAAAGCTTGTGAAATGAAGCTGGGTGCTTGCTCAAGCGACCCAGCCACCCCCTGTGCCACCTCAAGGGGTCAGAACCCCATGTTTCAGTCCATTAGCTCTGGAGCATTCTGCCATCCACCTCGACCCTGGCTCTAGCCCTTGCTGTGTGCCCTGGTAGACAGGTTGATGTGGAGGTGAGATCCAAGGACCCCCACCCCCCGCCCCCAGCATCCCTCTTGTGTCCCGTGTGTGAAAACACTCTGTAAATTAGTAAGAGGGCTGTTCTTGACGACCCGTCTCCCACTCTCCACTTATCCTGCACTTTTCATTTGTTTTTAATCAGGCCAACCGGCCACCCGCCAAGCTCAACCTGTTAACCTGCCAGGTGAAGACCAATCCCGAAGAGAGGAAGTGTTTCGACCTCATCTCACGTAAGGTTCTTTCTCAGGCCGTGCATCGGTCATTTTCCATGTGCCTGGAGCATCAGCCTTTTGAAGAATCGGTCTTACAGTTGCTGGGTATTATGGAGTAAGCCCGAAGACCTCAGGAGGCAGAGACAGGACGATTGTAAGGTTAAGGCCAGTTGGGTTTGCGTGGTGAGCGCCTGCTTTCAGGTGACCTGCTTCTTGTCTTTCCGGTGCTGAGTGGTGGCTTGCTGGTACCTAGGGTTAGAATTGGCCTTTGAAACTAGCCCTGTTCCATCTGCTCTGTAAATTGAGAGCCATCCTGTCCGTTCTGGGCCTCGGCTTCCCCATTGGTAGCATGCACATTGTACCGGATGGGTCTCGGTCCTAAAATTCTTTAACCTGCTTTCTTCAAAGGACAGTTTTGCTGTCTGGTGCTTCTGTAATGTATTTGTGTGATGTTTAAAATGCCATAAATGGAGGACAGGGAGGTGGCTCAGTGGGTTAAAGGCCCTTGGCTGCCAAGCCTGATGACTTGCGTTCTATTCCTGGATCCCATATGGTAGAAAGAGCAAATCTATTCCTGCAGGTTGTCCCCTGGCCTACACACATGCACCTCTTTACCAAAAAAGTAAATAAATGTAGTGAGTTTCTTTTATCCAACTTTTGAAATTAATTCAATTTACATCTTGCTCATAGGCCCCTCCCTCCTCTCCTTCCAGTCCCACCCTCCCTCTGCATCTTTTCTCCCCTATTCCCCCCACCCATGTAGTGAGTTTTTTTATTGCTCAGAACAGAAATGATTAGGTTTTCAATGAAGCCCTTGAACTTCAGTGGTGTTTTTTTTTTTTTAATTGTTTATTTTTTCCACTACAGAATTTGCCTTTTTGCTCCTGTGTATATGTCTCTTCTTTGTGGTATACACAAAAGGGCTGCCACAGAACCAGCAATTACAGCAAATGTTTACTCAGAACCTTCCAAAAACAAGAAAGGGACTCATGATGTCTTAAGGAAAATATGATAAATACCTTTGTCCTCGGTCATCGTACATGGCATGATTACAGTTCAGGGAAGGGTGGACCAGTCTCCCCTCTGAAATGGTGTTCCCAGCAATCCCATGCAGCCGTGTGTTTACACAAAGCACTAGCCTGAGGGGCCTAGGCTGGTGGAGTGTCCCGTCACGCGCTAGCATCCCGTCCTGCGATCTGATTCATTCTCCTGACCACACTCTTGAGCCCTTGGAGCCAGTGCCATGTGATTTAACACCCACAGCAAACGAAGAAGTCAACGTCTCTGCTGCCTGGGTCGCTTGTGCTCCTCATCAGGTTTCGCTCTGCAGCCTCACCTCGTTGAGCAGCGGGCAGGGCTGAGCCCCTTGACAGGGGACACATCTCACGATTTTGTCATTTGTGTGGGGCTAGGGGTGATGTCTGTGGGTTAGAATGCTTGCTGTGTAAGCTGTGGCCATGTGTTTGCCTAGAACCCCAACGCTGCTGAGGGAGGTGGAGGCAGGAGGATCACCAGGGCCTGTGAGAGGTGGGAAAAGTGGGTATACATGCTGCTTCAAGCTCCCTGCCCCTCAGCCTGGTAGGTTCCCTGTTACTTTCAGAATCATATCTACAACGTAAAGTGCCAAGCCTTGACCCTATCTTATAATGTCACTGCTGGGTCACCTGCCTCTAGACTAACAAAAGCTTGAGTTAAAAAGAGAAAACTTGATAGTGTCATTAGATGGCTGCTGGTGGGCTGGAGAAGAGAGAGGGTTTATTGTTAGAAAGGTGGGTGTCATCCTAGGTGTAAGTTCCCTTGGGTACCAGATCAGGAGTTGGTGGCTGAGCTTTGGGCACCACACCGAGGTAGATCAGCACCTCTGCCAGCTGTCACCTGCAGCACAGCCGGTGGGTCCCCAGCAAACAGCACAGGTGCAGAAGCAGCTGCTCCAGAACCTTCCTTCTGCATGCTGTCAGCTCCTCAGGCACCAGGGAGGTGGCTCATAGGCAGAGCACAGAGCCCTGCTAGCTGTGAAGCGCTGCATCCTGAGGATGTGGCAGAAGTGGCTAGTGGGTGAGCCTGGTTGTGTCCGAGTGCAGCGATGCAGACAGGCTTCACCACGGCCCCACGGTTGGCTTTGTGGCGGTGCTGAGGAGCTCTGTGAGTCTGGCTGCAGGTGCTGTTTTCTGTTGTGGCTGGCAGAACCTTAGTTATGCTGAAAACCTGTCTCACCCACTTCCCCTGAGCGGTCTGCAAGGGACAAAGTTAATTCCAGACTTCAACTCTTCAGAGTTTCAAAATGCACGATTCCTCTAGGGACATGGAGTGTGAATGTTTTATGCAGAACTGCCGGGGCTTAAGTTCATCGAGAGACTTGAAGTCATCAGGGGAATTCACTGGCTAAGGCTCTGATGGTGGCTGGTGTTCTGAGAAAGTTGGGAGACCTCTCTCATTCAACACCCTGTTCTTCCCTCTGATCTTTCCTTTGCCTCCTGAATAGTGGAGCAAATGCCATCAAGTGACTCTGAGCTTATAGTTAAGCTGTTGGGAAATAAAAAGTTGACCAAAGGCCATACTGGAGACAACAGGTCAGTGAGAGTCTAGCTGCATCCTAGCAGTCACCTCCCCCCTCTTATCTGCACTCATATGGTGTATTAAAATCTGCATGAGGAGACACACTGACAGGCTGCCCTGAGCCACTGCCTGCTAGAACCTCCTCCGCTCTTATCTCTCCCTAACAGGGGCTTCCCATTCTGATCAAGAGGGCACACGATCCTCTAGGGGATTTGTCTGTAGTAAAGCCAGCCCTTTGGGAACTAGTCCAGACTCGTGTCCTCAGACTGACTCTTGAGCCATTGTTTTTGACCCACAGGCACCCTAGGGTACCCTAGGAAGAATGGCGATTAGAATTACGAGATAACTTGGCCAGTCTCCCCGGCAGGATGGAGCTCAGATGGAAAGTGCCCGGGTTGAGGCATATTTCCAGAGAGCCTGCAGGGAAGGTGCTATTATTTGGACATTTTCACAGAGAATGACCTCACTCCTCTCCGGGTCCCAGTCCGGGCACTGGCAGAATTAGCCATCAGTCAACCCAAGCCACACCCGAAATGGCTGCGGAGTAGCTCAGTGTGGGCACAGGGCACGGACCTGCCCTCCGGTCACAGCTTCCTGAGAACTCTGAGGTCCACTTGGCAAGCTCCCAGCTTGAGCTGTGGACCTGCCCCTCTGGCCCTCTTCCTAGGAGGCTGGGCTGGCTACGAAGTGCCTGGGCGTAGAAGAGAATGGCCACACCTCCTTTCTCACTTCAACCTGGTGCGGCCCAGTGTTTGTCTAACTTGAAATAGTTCTCTTTGCCCCCCCCCCCCCCCCCCCCCCCCCCCCCCCCCAGATGGGATGTAGAAAAAGTGTCATCTGACTCCCCCTGGCGTTGAGAGTAAAGAGACAAACAGGACCCAAAACAAAACTGACCCTGCTCCAAACCTTCCTTGTGTCTGCACTTGACCTCTCTTGATACTTGGGCCCCGTCCAGACAGCTCATCAAGAGGCTAGTGAAAGCTACTATTGCAGGGCTGAGTCTATTCATTATATTTTTAAAAGCATTTGTTTGTGTGTGCATACGTGCGTGCGCCTCGTGTGTGTGTGTGTGTGTGTGTTTGTGTGTGTGTCTGTGTGTGTCTGTGTGCACGTGCCTGTGTTCCCATTTGGAGGCTAGAGGCCAGCTTGGAAGAGTAGGTTCTCTCCTATCACCACGTGGGTTCCAAGGATTCAACTCAAGCTGTCAGTCTTGGTGTGGGTGCCCTCAACTGCTGGGTCACATCACCCTCTGCTGGCTTTTAAGGTCACAGATGTCTTAGTGTGTCACTAAGAAGAGGGTCAGTCTCTGCTACCTTCGGAGGTTAGATGTCATTTTCTTCTCTGTTCAAATTTAGTTTTCTTTCTTACTTTGTTTTTCACCTGATTTTTTGCACACAGACTTTGTGGATATCTCTTGTCCAGCTCCTCTCTCTCTCTCTCTCTCTCTTTAAATCTATGTGTGTGTGTCTGTGTGTGTAGAGATGTCTCAGTACAATTTAGCCAATGTATATCACTAGGGAAATCCACATTGAGGACGAACACGGGCATGGTGCTGTGAAATGCTACCCAGAATTACCAATTTTCTACTCATGGCCTCGTCCCGGCACTATGATCCCCTCTAGGCCGCCGTGTTGTATTGAGATCATGTTTAATCGTGGCCCATGGGGGTCTAGTTTCTGTAGTCTTCTCTCACCTTTGTTGACCTTTGTACATTTTGAAGGCTGCAGTCCAGTTTTGTCATGAGACGTCTGCTATGTTAGGCTTCTCCTGTGTTACCTCAGGACCTAAAGAGGTTGTACATTTGGTGAGAGCACCACGGAAGTGAAGCTGTCCCCTCGTGCCCCCTCCCATGAAGACAGGGATCATAGCTCCCCAGAACACTGGAAAGGCCCTGCGGCCACCAGTGTTCTACTTCCTATTAGACCAGTATTTAACCACATCTTATTGGGCTTAACTTGCAGTGTGGGACCCTAAAATTTCTGAATCAGGGTTAATCCTTTTCTAAGGAAGCCAGAAAAAAAAAAAAAAAAAAAAACAAAAACAAAAAAAAAACTAAGTGTTTTTCAGAAAGGACTTTTGTTTGCCAGGGTTGTGGGCCATACCTTTAGTCCTATGGCTTAGGAAGCAGAGGCAGGCAAATCTCTGTAAGTTCAAAGCTGGTCTACATGGGGAGCATGCAGGAGGCTCTTATCAAAGGACTTTAGCTGTTCTTATTTGGGGATGACTCTGTAATGTATGTAAAAGCTTATAGAGATTGGTTTCTATTAAAAAGCCTCGCTTCTCACTCAGGAAGCTGCATCGTTTAGACTAGAATGCAGCAGGTTGATTAATTTTCCTTGCAAAGTCACAGTGACTAAAGCCAGCACACATACACACACACACAGACACACATACATGCAAAGCAGGCCTGCCTCAAGGGCTCTGAAGGACTGCTTGGCTCTATGCATTCTTGTGGTAGAGAGCACACGTTATTCCCGAGGTAAATAAGCTGGGCCTCACAGTGATAAGTCTCCCTTGCTGTGCAGATGACAGGACGTACCACTTCCAAGCAGAAGACGAACAAGAATGTCAGATGTAAGTGCAGTGGGTGGGGCTGGGACGGGGTGGGGGTGGGAGTGGGCTCGCCCACCCAGCTAACACCCCTGCTGCTGTTTGTCCAGATGGATGTCTGTGCTGCAGAACAGCAAGGAAGAGGCCCTGAACAACGCCTTTAAGGGCGATGACACCACTGGGGAAAATAACATCATCCAGGAGCTGACCAAGGAGATCATCTCGGAGGTGCAGAGGATGACGGGCAATGACGTGTGCTGCGACTGTGGGGCGCCAGGTGACCAGGGGGCGCCCCCCTCCCCCCAGGGCATTCAGATTTCAGAGCTGGCTAAAATCCACCGATTCATTGTTGTTGTTTTTTCCCCCACTCTCATTTCAAACATGAAATCAGTGCAGCTCCATCTGGCTGCATCCCATTACACATATGTTTAATGAACTGTGTGCAGAGCGCTGGGGGGCGCAGGGGCGGGAGATGTCAGCCTGCTGGGCAGGACCAGGACGGGGACCATGGAAAGATAGCCTGGTGGAGATGAAAAGATTACAGTGCCTTTGGAGCAGTGAAAACTGAAGGGCACAGTGGGGGGTCAGCTGAAGGTCATGGTCACAGGGACTCTGAGAGGCCATGAAAGTACAGCAGGGGCTTTTGCCTAGGATTTCCTTCTGCCTCCCTGTGCTCCTTAGGGGACTGTTTGAAGTAGCTTTCAGAGGTACTCTGTGATCCAGGAAGAGAGCCACAGATTATCAAACGATGGTAAAATGACTGACAGTCCATCCTGTCTGTTACTTCCTGTGTTTGCATTTTGATACAATTTACCAGAGGGTTCTTGTGAATGCAAGTAGCATCTTTATGGACATTAACTTTTACAGCTCAAGGAATGGACGTTTTAATTGAGATTGGTGAGGGCCGGGCAGTTGGCATCTCCACAGTAGCTTTTCTCCATGCTTGTTTACTGAGAAACGTGGCTTTCTGATTATCTACTTCTGTGGCAGTTTCTATGAAGACACAACCACAGTAGAGTGAGTAGTTAGAGGGACCATTAAGGTCCCATTTCCCTGAGTTTCTGATTGTCTTGGATCTATTAGAAGAATCTTTGAGGCAGGATCAGAGGCAGGGAGTCAAGTGTGCCTGAAAGGATAAGAACAGTGGAGAACTTAGAGGATTGCAACACCTTCGTAAAGAAACCTTGCTGAAGCCGGGAAGTGCTGGCGCAAAGCCCCTAGCCCTAGCACTTGGGAGCAGAGGCGGGTAGAGCTCTGTGAGTTCGAGGCCAGCCTGGTCTACAGAGCAAGTTCCAGGACAGTCAGAGCTACATAGAGAGACCCTGTCTGGGGGGTGGGGTGGAGGAAGAAAAAAAAGAAAGACATAAAATGCTAAGAATGCACATATGGTGTGAAATGTGCTGGGTTTTTTTTTTTAACATGGATTGTTCCCTCTAAAGCAGGATGCACACAGAATAGCTGAGATACCTGCAAACGTGGATGCTAGTAATATTTACTAATATTGGCACAATTAGTGTATGTGTTTATGTATGTGTACATACCTACATGTACTGGGGATTGAATTTAGTTAGTGCCTTCCATTTGCTAGGCAAGCACTATATCGTGAGCAAAACTCCTAGCCCACAATATTTTTTGTTCTGTGTAGAGGTAGAGTTGTGTGTATGTGTCTGAATGAGTTTATGTGCCACAAGAGTGTAATGCCCATAGAGGCCAGAAGAGGGCATTATATACCTCTGAATTGGAGTTACAAATGGTTGTCAATAGTCACATGGGTGCTGGGAATGGAACTCTGGTCCCCTTCAAGAGCAGCAGACCACTGAGCCATCTCTCCAGCCCCTCTCTCCCAACTGCAATTTTTAACAACTACTCAGTTTTTAAAGAACTTAACGATGACCTCATCGGCAAGATCATGGTGTTTATCTGTGGAGGATTTCTAAGGGCAGTGAGTGCTCCTGAGACATGGTGCTCCAATACATCTCATTTTCAGTGCTTTGTAAATCCAGCATGCTCCCGTCAGGTATTGGCTGGGTCCACACTGTGCGCTAAGCACTCGGAAGGATGCTTAAGGGAGGATATAAATGTGCTGTGTAGGGAAGCTGTAGCTTGAACTTGGGGAGGTGAAGGACGGGCCATGTGCTCTGTCCCTGCCAGCAGTGTGCCCTGAGCGTTCAGAGAGATAATACGGAAAAGTACTCTGATTTCAGATGCTCACTGTTCGGTTGACTGTTAACACACAACCCACACCTGAGCACATCACATCACAAGCATGGGCTATGTCTCCTGTTACTGTTGGTACCTAGAGATCTTACCCATCCTCTCAGCGCTGTGCTTGGGAGAGCCCTGCTCCTTCTGATCCACTCCGTGGCGTGGCAGGGTGGAACTGAGGTGGGTGTCGCAGGACTAGCCCTTGCAGTCGCTTGAGTGTGGAAGGATAGGAGCTGGAAGGAGAAGAGAAGAACCTTGTCACTGCTTGTGGGTGTGGTGTGATTTTAGATGGCCAGGGGCTCCAGCTATGTCAAGGGTAAAATGCTCATGTTTAAAGCTCTGAGTTCAGCAGCCTGGCAGGGATAAATATCTGCCTCCTGAGTGTCCTCTGACGACAGGCTCATGATGTTCCCTCTCCTTTGGCAGATCCGACGTGGCTCTCTACCAACCTGGGCATCCTGACATGCATCGAGTGCTCTGGGATCCACCGGGAGCTGGGGGTTCATTACTCCAGGATGCAGTCCTTGACCTTAGATGTATTGGGAACGTCTGAGCTTCTGGTAATTACATTTAGAAACTCATTCATAATTACTGACTCTCTGCTACCAGTGAGCGGGGGTGTGTCTTGTTATAGGATGTCATTCCTAAATGCAGAAAATGGAGATGAGCCCAAACTAGGAACACTGAGACTGGTGGAGGAGTCTTCTGAAATGGCAGAAGTGGCAGCTGGGGACCCCTTCATTAACCAGGAACAAAACCCAAAACTCAAGGGCAGTAAATGGTTTACTGTCCCTGAGTCATCAACTAGTTTCTGCCCAAACTGTACCCACTTCTTGCCTCAAGCCTCTTCCTGATCTGTATCGTCCCTCTCAGGATCTGAGATACTGTCTTCTGTGTTTGCCCTCACTCTTTTAAAACAGTTTTTCACTCCCGGGTCGCTGGTAATATGGATGCTTTGTGATACAGTGACGAGGAGAAGGAAGCATCTTTTGAGAAACACCTTTCGGTACTTGACACTGCAGCCCCACTGAGTCACAAGGCCAATTGCACCCCTGCCTGGCTGGGGGGTGGGGGGGGATGCTTCAGAGTCTGTGGAAAGCAGTGCTGAGAATCCTTTCTTGGAATGACTGGGTGTTGCGTAGTAAGCAGTAAGTGGGTATTGATCGCCATTGATTTTAATGTCAAGCGCAATAACCGTGATAGAACATCAATTCTCAGAGTCAGCATTCCTCTCACGGGGCAGTAAATCTTCCCGACAACTCTGAATCCAATGTGCCTGGATTTTGTGGTGCCTCACTGTCATGGACAGGCTTCCCTGTACTTCCAAGGAATTCCTTGTTTGATCTTGCAGGACAGGAGTGAGGAAAAGCTATCACGGATCCTGGCATCTCAGATAGTGTACCCCTGGTTACTCACAGCTTCTAAGTGAAGCAGGCTCGGCAAGTCCCCACAGTTCACTCTTAGTTATATATGTGGTTCCTGCTGCTGATACACTGGCCTGCATCTGCAAGTTGGGTCAGCACACAGCATCTGTGGGGAAACTGATTATGGTTTAGTTTCCAAGTGGTCACACTCAATGAAACAGTATCTCAGCAAACACGGTTGGACTGGCGACTTCTACTTTTCACCTGTTTGCTTACAGCAGAGGGTCATGTCAAATGATGGATAGTGAGATAATGGCTTGTCTTGGAAGCCCTTTATTATATGTGTTGGCTCATCCGATCTATCTCTATGACTCAGGATCCTCAGTGTATTATCCCTACCTTACCAGTGGGAAAGCTTTGCTTACAATACCTTATGAGCCCAGGTTTTGTCCCCATTAAGGCTCCCTGTAATCTGTCTTAGCTCCTACTCACCTCTGAGGCTCCTGGACACAAAATGGCATTTGTGGTGGGTTGTCTGGCCATGTGGCAAGTATGTAATACATCTGCTCCTCTCCTGAGCCCCCCCCCCCCTCCCAACAAATATTTAACAGCCAACCCTGAGGAGCAAAGCCTGCCTGTTCTCTGGTGTAAATGCTTCTATCACGGCTAGTTTCAAGCTACTCTTATGAGCGTCTGACTGTGAAGCTGGCAAAGGCTGTTCAATGACAGGGTTGCAGCATACATTCATCATGTAAATGCAACGCATGCAAGCAGGCACTGATAATAGCGAAATGTAGTAAAATTTAGAAATGATGAGATTTGTCATTGTTTGTTTGTTTGTTTGTTTGTTTGGAACAGGGTCTCACTCTGTAGCCCAGGCTGTCCCTAAACTCCAGTTTCTTCCTTTCTTCCTCAGATCCTGATGTGCTTAGAATTCATTTGTGTACCAACATGCCTATCAAGAAAATGAGTCTTGAATATCTAATATCATAGTTGTTGACATGATTTATCTTGCGTTTACATAGTGTCATTTTTAACAGTAGCAGTGTTTAACAGCTGTCTCTCAGAATCCCCAGACATCCAGTAATTAGCTTTCAAGAGCTGGTTAGAGCCTGGCTTCAACATTGACTACTTACAGATGCCTCAGAAAAGGACATCAGATTCCCCCCTTGAACTGCAGTTATGGGTGGCTGTGAGGTACCTGACATGGATGCTGGGGAATAAAACTTAGGTCTTGTGTAAGAGCAGGGTATGCTCTTAGTCTCCGGGCCATTTATCCAGCTTACTTGCATTTTTTTTTTTAAAGAAGCCCCCATAAATTCAGACTAACATATGGTTCTCTTTTCCCCATTCACCTTGCCATCTTTGATAAAAGGCTTCCTGGTGTGAGGTGATGGGTTTTTTGTTTGTTTTGCTCACATGTTGCTACAGTTGGTATTTCTGGGCATTAGCCTTGTGCCCATTTGCTGTTTCCTGTCTCTGGTCCTCGCCCACAAGTCGAGACTATCTGTGCTCATTCTGTCAAATTCAAGCTCATCATACATTTTGGATCCTATCTTTGTGTTAGGCCAGGTCTCAGGTACTTTTCTCATTCCGTAAGCTGCCCCTTCACTTTCTCATTTGTGCAGAGCAATCCCAGCCTTCCACTCCCGCTTTTGTTGGCGAGCTGAGATGTTTAAAAATGACCTGAAAGAGGCAACCAGCCCATGAGCAGGTCCTGAGTGCATTTTCATTTTCTCTTTGGCGTCATGGCTTTGAATAGAAGATAAATGGTCTCCTACTCCTGTCTTCACGACTTCAGCATTTTCCTCTTCAGAAGAGTCCTCTGCCCAGTTCTGTGGATCATTACCTGGTGGGCAAAGTTTCCCTGATGCTGCGCCCTGGCTCTTTCTCCATTTTAATGTGTTGTTGTTTCAAAGCATACTTTCCATGCTGATGGGTTGGACTTGGGCAGCGTCTGTGAAGGTGCCTGGTTAATAGTCACCTCTGCTTCCTGTTATCTGCTTTTAAAATCATGAGCGGTGGAGGGTTCATTAAGTTCTTTCCGGGAAGTTTGCCACCCCAACCACTTTAGCATTCCGTAGGGGTTGTGGGTCACAACCCCTTAGGGGTCAGCCAACCCTTTCACAGGGGTCACCTAAGACCATCCGCATGTCAGACATTTACATTTGTGATTCATAACAGCAGCAAAATCACAGTCATGGAGTAGCAATGGAAATAATTTTATGGCTGGGGATCACTACAACGTGAGGAACTGTATTAAAGGGTCACAGAATTGGGAAGGTTGAGAACCACTTGGAACTTCAGTAAATTTGGTTTCAGAAACCTGTGACAAGCCTGGATTTCAATGAGATGTTCTCCTTAACACTGAAGAGCATTAGAAGAAGCTTTTTTTTTGGGGGGGGGGGGCGCTGGTTATCATCTGAAAAACTATAGTACCCACTAGGGTACTGATACCATGTGATCCATTTTGCTATCATATTTGAAGTTAATACGGAAAAACCTCAGTGTTTTGGAATTTATAGTGGGATGTGGTAGTTCAAGCCTGTGATCTCAACACTTGGGAGGCTGAAAAAGGAAGATTGCTGCTACCTTGAGACTAGCCTGTGCTATCCAGTGGGTCCCGGGGCCAGCCTGGGCTGGCTGAGCAGGATAAAGGAAAGGAAGGAAATTGAATTTTAAAGTCTTCCGTCATGTTGGAGGAATCAGGAAGCCTAGGGAGTTGGTTAGCTGATTCAGCTGTCTCTTGAGGTCTGTCTCTACTGCACCGTCAGACAGCAGGGCAGGGCAGCCGCAGCCTCAAGCCCTGGGAACGGCTGTTCAGTACTGGCGTTTTGCTGACGCTCAACTAGGCCACTCTGGGTAGCGACTGCAGTTGCTTCTGACTAAGAGAAAGTACAGTCAGCTGCCATCCACTGAGTTCTGTTTAAGCTCCAGGCATTGTCGTGGCTGGGTTTTGTGTGGTGTGTGTATGTGTGTGGGTGTACTTGCTTGCTTTCTGGCCTAAGTGAGACCCAGAGTCCAAGAAACTCGCTCATGTAATGCCCTTAAGACTCTTCACCACAGGCTATTTGCAAACCCAACTGTAAGTCACAACACTGAGCTGTTTTTCCTACAAGTGAAACCGTGTATCCAAGCATCTGCTATCAAGTGTATTAGAGAAATGGCAAGGTCCACATACATGTTAAGTCTGTGAATTTTCTTCTCACTCTCCTTGCTAAGCTCCCAGCATTTCTTGACTCTGCCTACTCGGGTCACCCCTCCGGCACATGTATGTCAAGGGATGTGGCCTTCCACCCCTACTGGAACAGAGCTGGGAGTAAACAGAGAGAAAGCTAAGATAAACCAGAATAGATCCAGACTCTGCATTTGGCAGAGGCCCAGATGGCTACAAGGTTTCTGTGTGCAGGAACTGTGTCGTAGTCCACCCCACTAGGCAGCTGGAGGGTCCCTATCCTGGAGAAGGAGCAGGCCTCAGTGAAGTACCCCTGTGGGACCTACGAAACTTCAGAGAGGTCTTGCTTCCCTCACTTCTGGTTCCTATCCTCAAGTGAGGACAGAGAGGTAGGAAAAAGCTACCATAGTTACTATCTCTCTTGTGGAAATAGGAAGCAGGACGTTTGCTCCAGCCCATCCCAAACTCTAGAGTGTCTAAACCTTGGGCCTTGTTGAAGCTTCATACCCTGCCCAGGCGCCTGCTAAGGGTTTATAAAGGCCTGTTTTCCTGTTCTGGGCACATGGGTGATTCTCACATAGAGTGTTCTTGGCCGTGAGCATGCCTGATTCGGGTTTTGCGAGGCTTGGCCAGAGCTTTTGTTGTTGTAACCCCAACACTGTGCTACTTTTAAAAGATATATTTTCACGTTTCATTGTTTGTCTACAGGAAGGTGTGTGTCACAGTATGCATGTGGAGGTCACAGGATGTTTGGGGGTCTGTTCTTGTCCTCCATCATTACTCTTGGTTCTGCCACTTTGCATTTTCTAGGCCAGGTGGCGCATGGGCTTCTGGGTAACTCTGATAGCTTCCCCTTTCATCTTGCTATAGAAGTGCTGAGATTATGGCTGCATGCCACCACATCCGGCTTTTGGAGGTCTCAGGGATCAGACTCAGGTTGTTGGTTTGCAATGCAAATGTTTATACTTACTTAGCCATGTCCCTGGCCCCTCTGCTGTTGGTGCTGCTGCTGCTTATTGATTGATTGCTGCTGCTTGCTTGCTTGCTTGCTTATTTATTTATTTATTTATTTATTTATTTATTTATTTATTTATTTATTCATTCATTCATTCATTTATTTATTTATTTATTTATTCATTCGTTTATGTATGCATGTATGCATGTATGTATGTATGTATGTATTTATTTGATCAGTTTTTCTTTGTTGTTGGACTGAGCTAGTAGAGAAAAATATGGCAGCTCATGTCCAATGCCCAACAGAGCTAATAGGCTCAGTTACACGAAGGCCTCATTTTGTGTTTATGAAGCGGCGTGAAGGGTAAGAGTTGGGGCTCCAGCTTCGCTGCCTTGTTTTACTCAGTTGGCCCTCTGTATTGGCGTGTTTACCGTCTACAAATCCAACCAACCAACCAACCAACCTCAAGTTGAAATTATTTAAAATAAGTGCTGGAGAGACAGCTCAGTGTTGAAGGGCACTCGTTGCTCTTGCAGAGGAAGTGGGTTTGGCTCCCAGCATCCACATAGAGGTTCACAATCATCTGTAGTTCCCGGGGATCTGACACCCTCTTCTGAACTCCCTGGCCATTGAACACACGTGGTGCATACACAAGTGCAGACAGAACACTCATACACAGAGGTAAATAAACCCCTAAAAATAGTATTAAAAGAAATTAGCTGGGCGAGGTGACACACGCTTTTAATCCCAGAACTCAAGGAGGCAGAGGCAGGCGGATCACTGTGAGTTTGAGGCCAGCCTGGTCTACAAAGTGAGTCTAGGATAGCCAAAGCTACACAGAGAAATGCTATCTTGAATTTCTAAAAGAAAACCCAATTTTGAACTTGCCTCATCCCAAAATCCATCCCATATCTGCTTGAATGAAGTGAAGCATCCTGCTGCAGTGTCTCAGGAAGGCTCCCCGTCTCCCTGACCCTTGAGCATTCTTTGTGCATGGCTCAAAGACTTTTCTTGTTACTTCCCGAACGGTGTCATTAGACAGTTATTTGCATGGCATTACCACGTCATAGCTGGTATACCTGGGTACCCTCCGATTTTCCATCTCTAGGTTCCTGGACCCCAGGCCCCAGACAGGAAGAGACCTGTACCAGTGAGCACTGGCTTCCTGTGCCAGTCCAGCTCAGACTCCCACCTCAGCACATCCCACACTTCCTTCAGGTGACAGTGACAGCTCTTGATACAGAGTCCTGGTCAACACCCGGTCTTCCTGTTCTGAGTACTGCTTCCCCTGGGCCTGTAGGCCTCGCGTTTCACCATTAAGATCCCGTGGCCTTTGGCTTCTGGGAGGCTCTGGCTCTTTTGGTGCTTCTAAGAGGTTCTCTGCAGGCTACTTTATAAACTGGGTCTTAGCAGGTATGTGAGGTGACATGTTCCTCTAGCGTTGAATGTGTATGTGTGACATACAGACAGGGTAGCTCTCTGGACCAGCTGTCCCAGCTAAGCCAGCCAGATCCAAGCAGGAGGGAAGCTTTCTGATGCCTCCTATCCCCCATCCACCTAATGCAGATGAATGGGGTGGCCCCACTCACAGGAGGCAGTTGTGGCTTGTGCCATTATTTTTTGGATCTGAACCTAAGCCAGTTCCTCCTAAAGAGAGACCAGACCCTCCCCATCACAGCCATACCTCCAGACCGTCTCCTCCGCCTACCCTGTGTCTGCCAGGCAATCTAGCTAAGAAGTATGAGGTGCCATCGAGTTCCTCACTGTGTTTTCAATGAAGCTGAATAATCTGTTCTTTCCAACCCCCGTGCAAGATGTGCCCACCAGTATTGTATTGTGTGAAATATTTAAAAATCTGACTTGTGGGCCAGGGCTCAGCAGTGGCAGAAATCTGGAAGGTTAGGACAGGTGCCGGGCTCTGTGCTTGGAATAAGAGATGTCTCTGTTCGCAAGGAGGCCCTGGCCATGCAGTCTTTCGTTCAGCAGAGTTCAGTTGCCATGTTGTCAAGGTAGCCTGGCTGTGCCTGGCACAGTGGTACTTGGTGAATATCCAAGGAGAAGGTTTGACCTGAGCATTGGAAAGTTAGAAGACCTACATCCGGAGTTCAAGTGCGATAACATCAGTGTCTCAGTTTGCCAAGGGTTTTCACCCAGGGTGTCCCAGCTGGCCATTTTTACAAACCCTTGGGCAGTCGTCCTCCTGGTCCCTCCCCCATTTGAAGCTGTGTTTGGCTTTCTGGTCCAGTGTATCTCTGTGGCACTACTCCTCACAGCTGGTGTGAAGAAGGCTGTGGGTGAAGGAATTCCTGTCGGAAAGCAAGTGAGAATGGAGAATCACTGTGGATTGCGCCCCTGCTTTACAGAGGCTGTGGTGACCGTCGGTCCATTTCCCTCAGGGTCCTCTGCAGGCCATCACGCTGCGCCGATGCCATGGGGTTTTCATTAAAAGCAAACCACTTTACCGCTCTATTTCTTAGGGCCATTAAATAAATCATCAGCTTGTGAATAGCGGACAGCGGTGGAGGGTATTAATAATTGAGTGCTCTGAAATAGACTTTTTTTTTTCCCAGCTTGCCAAGAATATTGGGAATGCAGGCTTTAATGAGATCATGGAGTGTTGCCTACCGTCTGAGGAGCCAGTCAAACCCAACCCCAGCAGCGACATGTGAGTATGAGGCTGGCTGCTCTCATTTGCTGAAGAAAGATGTGTGCTTTGCCTGAGCCCCGGCAGCAGGGGAACAGGTCTGGGAGGGGCAGCTCTTGTTGCTGCCCACCTGCTAAAATGGCCAGGTTAGTGACCGCTGCTGCTTGATGCCGCTCTTTCTGGCTATTTGTCCCTCACTGAGGTACCAGTCTCCTGGAATGCTACGATATGAGGAGTATAGTAAAAATACTTTTTAAGTATGAGGAATCGAGGCTGGAGAGATGGCGAGGCTGTTAAGAGCACTTGTTGCTCTTGTGGGGGGCCTGGGTTCAAGTCTGAGCCACCTGCATGGTGGCTTCAGCGATTAAAAACTCAGGTTCTTGAGGATCTAATAAGCTTTCTTTGGCCTCTGCAGGCGCCAGGAATGTATGTGGTACACATGCATACACGCAGACAAAGTACTCCAACACATAAAGATAGTAATTACGAAAAAACCAGCAAGGTTCCTTATGAAAGTGGGGCATCTGTTTGTTCTAGGGGTAAATGATTGTAAGGATGAATACCACCTCTCAGCATCTAGGTTCAGTCTGCTCTAAGGTACACACACACACACACACACACACACACACACACACACCTTGGCATCTCTCACAAGAAAGTTTACAGTCTTATTTCCTCAGAAATGAGGGTGAATGGCTGCTATGGTGATGAAAAGCCACTCACAGTGATTCTTCTGCAGGCATGACTGTAATCCCTGAAGTGGCAAAGTTGAGGCAGGGGGATTATACATGTGAGGCTAGCCTGGACTATACAGTGAGTTCTAGGTTAACCTGGGCTACACAGTGAGTTCAAGGCTAGCATGGATGGCATAGTAAGACCCTTAGTCTGGCTCTCCCACGACCCCAAATAAAAGGAGGAAATTCATCATTTGACTCTTCCCGTGCTTTCAGCCGCTGGCTCTTTCTTGCAACACTCCATAACACTTTACAATATACGTGGGTTTTCACATATTGTTCTGGAAATTGAATTTTGCTTATTTTTGTATTTGCCACTATAGTTTGTTGCTTGTAGTGGCTTGGTAAATATTTAATGGCTCAACAAATCAAAGAAATAGCCCCAGCTCTGTGCCTGCTTCATTCAGCAACTATTTTATTTTTAGATTCGATAGAGTGGGTGCACACCATTTTCAGCCATGTGCTGAAGGGGAAGCCGAAGGCACCCTGTCATGGCCTGTGAACCCCCAGTTTGGAGTAGTCAGAAAGCATGTGTGACTGGGCCACGCAGAGGCCAGCTTGCACCTGCTTATAGAAGCAGCTTTTACCAGAAGCAACAGGAAGCCCCACTCCCACTTCCACCACTGGATGGATCAGCCTGTAGTGTCCTGTTGCTCTCCTTCACCCATCCCAGCCAGTACTTTTATAAAAGCCAAGCACTCACTAAATAGCACAGTCTATCATGTTGCAACCAGGGGTCAGAGTGGGTTACAGAAATCTGTCCCGTGTTTGGGTTGGAACCACCTTCAGGGGACTCAGAGCCCAGGAGAGATGACTATCCATGTAAAGAAGGAACAACAAACACAAAAAACAGAGCGTGGCACACACTTGTAATCCCATCAACTTTAGAAGCTGAAGCAGGGGAATCAGGAGTTGGAGGGCAACCTGGGTTATATAGCGAGAATCTTTATTTTAAAAAACAAAAACAAAACAGAGCTTGGGGCTGGAGAGATGGCTCAGCGGTTAAGAGTAGGTGCTGCTCTTGCGGAGGACCTGGGTTGAGTTCTCAGCACCCATATGGTGGCTCCCAGACTGAACTTTTCGTTCCAGCGCCTCCAAAGCCCTGTCCAACCTTTCAGGCAACAGACATGCATACATGCAGGCCTACATGAACACCTGTAGACATAAAATGAAATAGGTCCCCAAAACAAGAGCTGGGGCTGTGCTTCCAGGGATAGAGAGCTTGTGCCTAGCACACACATGGTCCTAGGTTCAGCCCCTGCCCCTAAATAAACAGATAAGTAATAGAACTCAGCTATTTCTACCTCACCCTTGTCCTTTAGGGGTCACGGAGAGTAGCCCACACTGGTTACTGAAAGTACACAGAGCTTGACACCTGTCCTGTCCCCAGACACCAGACCCCATAGAGTTTAAGGCATGGAATAAGTTCCTCATGAAGGCTATGCCACTGTGACTTAGTAATTCCTGAAAGTCCCACACCAGAGGAGACCTCCAGCTCTGAACCGGGCCAGCCAGGGCCCTTGCCAGCGGTCTCAGGAAGCCGCCCATTTTTCCTGTGGCTTCAATCCCCTGCACTATGGGGATCCAGTGAATTAAGGAGGTGGTGGTTCGAGGCAGCTGGAGGAGGAATGTGGATGACAACAGAGAAAGACATGAGCGTGTGTGTAGAGGGATGTGAGCAAGACAGGCAAACACACAGGTTAGGTGTGGGGACCACAGTGTGCTGAGTGAGAGCTCGGAGCTGCGGAAGGGGCAACAGCAGGCAGCTGAGAAAATGTAAAAAAAAAAAAAAAAGCTATGCACCTGGCCCAGGATGGCTGCGTGGACTTCGATACATCTGATACTGGAAGCTAGCCGTACCTCTACTTGAAGAAGGAGCCCACGGGGCCCCAAGAGGGCGGGGCAGGGTTGCAGGTGATGGTCTAGGCGGATGGACAGAGGCCCTCAGTGTTTCACCCTGCAGTTATGTCTGGTTTCAGGATTGCAAGGAAGGACTACATCACGGCCAAGTACATCGAGAGGCGATACGCAAGGAAAAAGCATGCAGACACCTTGACGAAGCTCCACAGCCTTTGCGAGGCCGTCAAGACCAGAGACATTTTTGGGCTGCTCCAAGCTTATGCCGATGGTGTGGACCTGACAGAAAAAATCCCACTGGCCAATGGGCATGTAAGAGGGGCTGCAAAAGGATGAAAAATGAGGGGTAAAACAAGGGAGGTATGTTCATCCACGTTCTCCATACTCTATCGCTCCCTGGAGAGGAATAGGCAGCAGTTTTCTTGTAATTGGTAAATAAATATACAAGTTGAGCTTACTGTTATCCTAACTGCTTGGACCAGAAGTGGTTTATTTTTATTTTTTTAATTTTGGATTTTTTTTTTAGGGGTTTAAATACTTGATACCTAGTGGGAGCTTAGAGTTGGGACACAGTTAGTTGGCTCATGTCTCGCATAAGCCAGCTTAGAAGCGATTTTGTGCAGTGTCGACAGTGTGCCTCCATTTTAACTGTGAGCCGTCATCTGAGCTCAGGTGTGGGGTTCTCCACCTGTCAAAAAGTTCAGAGCTGTGTTGCGTTTTAGACTCCTGACCTGCATTCAGGACACCCAGCCCATTCTTTGATAGATGTTCACGCTGTGAAGTAACCATATCATATACTTATCATTTGTCGTGGACACATTCCACATCCACTCAGCAATTTTGGATCTATGATTCAAATACAGAATTAACTACAGCCAGTGCTACAATGGAACCTACCTTCCCCGATACAAACTTTTATTTTTATTTTTTTGAAAGTGTCTCACTCTGCTAGCAATCCTCCTGCCTCAGCTTCCTGGGTGCACCACCACACCTAGATTGACTCCTTTCAGACTGCACCTTTGTGTGTTGGTTTGCCCCTCCTTTAAAAAGATTATTTTTATGTGTGTCCCCGAGTGCATATACGCACCATATGCATGTAGACATCCTCAGAGGCCAGAAGACAGTGTCAGACCCCTCAGAGCTGGAGTGGTGAGCCTCCCGATATGGATGCTGGGGACCAAACATGCTGGGGTCTCCACAAGAGCAGCAAGTTCTCTCAACGGCTGAGCTGTCTCCTTAGCCCTGTTAGTTTATTCTTAAGCCAAAAATGTAATGCCAGATGTTGAAGGAAAGGCCTTCTGAGGTGGAAGGGAATCTATCCTCGGAGGCCTAAAAGCCTGAGAGGCCCCTCCCTACCATAACAAGGTTTATGGACAGCCTCTCGTTTGGGTGGAAAGCTGGTCCCAGAGCATCTCTGAGGCCATGCTGAGGTGTGCTGTGGCAAGGGCCACCTTGTAGTTCATGTTCTGAGTGTCTTCCCAGAAGGGATGAGTAGAGCGCGTCTCCCAGTCTCCTAGTGTTGCTCTTGGGATCATGTCTGTATCTTACTGTCAGTACCTAAGGAGCTGTCAAGTCTCCTGGTTCTTCCAGACAGAGTCCCCGTGGCACATACCACTTCCACAGAACATCCTGGTCTCAGGGGATTCTTCATCCTGTGTGGTAGGGTACTGGGTAGGGCATCATGTTTGATCCAGAATTCTAGGCTAAGCTAGATCCCTTGAGTGGGAACGTGGTATAGTAACACTATTTTCTCCTGGTGACACAGGTTGTTCCTAGTGTCACTCCCATTCTCTCTCAGGAGAAAACTCAAGCCCCGTGCCCAGTACTACCAGAGCACTGAACAGGCAGGGCAAGTTTAGAAGGACAGCCACCCTCCCTGTTCATGCCTTCTGCCCTTTGGCTATCTCCTTCCCCCTACTTTTTGACCCACCTGCCTGAAATAACTCCTGTTTATCTTTTCCCTCTCCTTGAGGTGGGGACACAATTGAAACGGCTTGGACTTAAAACCCCCTGCATTTCTTACTTCCCATGAGTAAGGGGGGATAGGACCAATCTTTAAGTTATGCTGTCTCAGTTGCTTTTCTATTTCTGTGATAAGACACCATGACCAAGGCTACTTGGAGAAGAAAGCATTTATTTGGAACTTACTGTTTCAGAGGGCTGGGGTTTATGACTGTCATGGTGGGGAACATAGCAGTAGGCATGCAGGCCTGGTGCTGGGGCAGTAACTGAGAGCTCACATATTGAGATACATCCACAAGGCAGAGACAGACAGACAGACTGACTGACTGATTGACTGACTGACTGTCTGTCTGACTGGACCGGCAATGTCACAAATCTTTTTAAAGCCCACCCCTAGTGACATACCTCCTCCACCAAAGCTACACCTTCTAATGCTTCCCAAATTGTTTCACCAACTGGGGACCAAGTATTCAAACATAATGAACCTATTGGGGGCCATTTTCATTCAAACCACCACATATGCTGTTGCTGTTCAGATTAAAAAGTGGACACTCTGTACCGTAGATAAATGTTTCATAGGGAAAAGGTGGAAAAGCTTTTGGAAGGGACACGTGCTGTTTTACCTTGGTGATCCTGGGGTTGAAAGATGCCACTGGAATTCCAAATGTTTTGGTTTGAATTTCAGGAGCCAGACGAGACTGCACTCCATCTTGCAGTCAGATCCGTGGACCGGACTTCCCTTCACATTGTAGACTTCCTGGTCCAGAACAGGTGGGTGTCTCAAAACTAAGTGGAGGCCTTTGTTCTTGTTCTCTGGGGCTTCTGAGGAGAGGACCAGATGCGGTCTTCACTACTTGGGTTGTGTTGCCAAGATGCTCATGTCTCAGGTTTAAATATGAATTATGGGAATTCCTTAGAAAAGCCCTGGAGGGTGAGAACAGAAGGCCTTCATGGTACCTGTAAGATCCCATATCCAGCGTGTAGGAGATACTCCAGGGAACCATGACTGCTCAGTTCCCAGCCCCAGGGAAGACCATGTGGGGGCTGGGGCCATCATCTGTGACATGAGCATTTCTCAGTTTCTCATGTGGGTGGCTCTTGCCCATATCAGTCCCCACAGGGCATCTCAATAGCCGAGAGGTACGAGGGGTAAAGATGCATGAGCCACTGGCCCAAGCCAGGAATTGTAAGTCAGACCTCAGTGAAGTAAATCGGAACTCTCCTTTGGGTTGAGAGGCCGCTTGTGGTCATTGACTAGAAATGGCCTTTTGAGTTGCTCGGAAGTCCCGGTCGTTCAATGAGTGCTGCTTCCGTGTGTACACCTGCCTGGCCACTGCAAGCCACATGTTAAGACCCTTCAGCCTATACTGTGTCTCCCTGATCGTGGTTGGGGTTAGCTGTGTTTAAGCAGAGGATGATGGTTAAATGTTGCAAGCGGAATGGGAAGGTCTCATATAACAAGAGCAACATAGGATGATTAGTTTTTGTGGCCTCTGCCCTTCCCTGCTATTCCAGGAAAGAATGGCGGTGGAAAGACTTGCAGGACAGTCACCCTGAAGGCCTGCAGCTCCTTGTAAAGGCCAGGTTCACATAACTCAGGGCTGAGTTAATTAGACATTCTCCTCTGAGCCCAGCCTGGGGCCCGGCATGGAATGCTGCTTCCATGGACATTTGATATCCTCTGGGGCCAAAGCCTGATTTCTCCTCTTCTAACATAGAAGGAAGACAGTGATAGAGGATGCTTCAGGATAGGCCATGGTTTGGGATGAGCTCAGTGATAAGTGCCTGCCTCACGTGCACGAACCTCAAATTCCATCCTCAGAACTGTACAAAGAACAGAAAGGAAAGGTGGCTCTTTCTTACACAGAGGCAGCTGGGGGCGATGGCTACCAAAGCAAGGGCACTTCTGTTCCTATTTGTCTGCCTGAGGATGCAGAGCCCCCTGTCCTTCCTTGGCGGTGATGCCACTTCAGATGGTAATTGCTTTTATCACGTATGTGGAACACGTGTACCTTTGGCTTCGGATAACCTAGTCTTGTTTTATGGTAGAAAAACATGTGAAAATCTTCAGAAGTGTTCCCCTTTCACCTACTTTCAGGGGCTTGTCCTAGGGCCAGCAGGCTTGTGGGAGCCTTGGGATACTAAACTGAACAGTATCATTCCCTTCCCTGATAGAAATATCAGGAAATAAAATGAAAGGGCCTGGAGAGATGGTTCAGGGGTTAGAGCACTGGGCACTCTCCCAGGGGACCCGGCTTCAGTTCTCAGTGCCCACACGGTGGCTCATTACCATCTATACCTCCAATCCTAGGGGATACAATGCCTTCTTCTAGTTTCCATTGGTGTCAGGCAGGGACATGATGCTCAGACGTAGACACAAGCAAAATATCCATACGTGTAAAATAAAATAATTTTTAAAAAGAAATAAGAGAAATGAACAGTTTGCTTGTTCTCCAGTGTGGCAGGTAGGGCTACTTATGTAGATTGAATGGTGGACATGGTGCTCTGGGTACCACAGGCCAACAGGGAAGAGGACAGAGGTACCAAGATTGCTCCAGGTGTCCTCCAGCCTCTAGTGTTGCAACCCTTTAACATAGTTCCTCATGTTGTGGTAACCCCCCCCCCATAAAATTATTTTCATTGCTACTTCATAACTATAATTTTGCTACTGTCCTGAATCATAACTATTCGATATGTAGGATGCTCTTAGAACCCCTGTGGAAGGGTCATTCAACTCACAAAGGCGTAGGACCCACAGGTGGAGAATCGCTGCTCTAACCCAAACACAACAGCACCTTTGGCTTGTCGGTCTCTGCCACCGTTTCTTGTGGGTCTCTGCTTTCCTTTCATTCTCTCTCAGTCAGGCTGTTCCCTAGCTGCCTTCCTGCTAGCTAGCCTGGTGCCCACACACTGTGGGATGAGTTAGATAAACTACTGCTCAACTCACACTTCTTTCCAATGTCGGCAGGGCAGCTCTCAGTCCTGTGGCTTATGACTCTTTCCTGTCCTTGTTCCGAGCAGCGGGAACCTGGATAAGCAGACGGGCAAGGGCAGCACGGCCCTGCACTACTGCTGCCTGACCGACAACGCCGAATGTCTCAAGCTCCTCCTTCGGGGAAAGGCGTCCATCGAGATCGGTAAGCTGCCTGGAGTCTGCTGGGATACAAGTGGCTCTTTCGGCCTCTTTCTGCAGCTATGTTGTAGTGAGGAGCAGTTCTCAGAGTAGAAGGAGTGCCTCTCCCTACCTATCCCACAGAGTGGCCTGTCCTGGGCATCAACAGGCTCCTATCTGTCTTAGCCTTTGGCTTAACCTACAGGCTTCAGCAGTACTAAGATTAGGCCTTGCAGAAAATCCCTGAGCTGGATAAGTACAGGTCAGCTGTGTAGCCCTGGCTCACCTCCCAAGATCAAACTAGCCTTTCTTTGAAGGTGTGCTCTTGTGCCTTTCCTTGCATTGGTAGCGCCTGCAGCAGCTCCTAGTCCCTCAGCTATGGGCCCTTGACCTTCTGACACTGCCAAGGCACAGTGTCTTACCCGGAGCCGTCCAGTTGTGGTTGGTTCCAGGCGAAGTATTTGGAAAACTACTAAACTAAACAAGAAGCAGAAAAAAACGGGACATGTTCCGCTCAAAAGCCACGCATATGAAACTAATGAAGCCAGACATGGTGGCACATACACTTGGAAGCCAGAGGCAGGGGGATCACTATGGTTTGAAGCCCGATTAGTCTCTACAGAGAGTTCCAGCCAGCCAGAGCTATTTAGAGAGACCCTGTCTGAAAGAAAAGCAACAAACAAGCAAACCTTGTTGACAGAGACTTACAGAGAAGGAAGGGTCAGTTCAGATGCCTGGTCTACAAGGCTCACCCACCACCTTCTAGTGTGGGGGCTGGTGGCACTCACTGCGCTGCTCTTGCTCTGTTGATAACTGGAACTGGGGGCAACGGTTGGCTGCCTCAACACTTCTTTCAAAATTAGTTACTCTACTCGCTTGTACCCTGTACAAGTGACAGCCAGCCCTGCCCAGATTAACCTGACTGCATTCCATGAGTCCTGCTTAGTTTAATGAGGTGGTTCTGTCTTGGCATTTTATTTGCTGTGGGCAAACATTTAGTTGGGGCTGGCTTACAGTTTCAGAGCTTCAGTCCATTATCATCATGGCAGAGAGCATGGTGACATGCAGGCTGACATGGTGCTGGAGGAGCCAAGAGTTCTACATCTTGACCTGCAGGCAGCAGAAGGGAGCCGTGTGCCATGGTGTGTGTTGCTTGAGCATAGGAGACCTCAAAGCCCGCCCCACAGTGACACACTTCTCCAGCAAGCCCACACCTCCTAATAATGCCCTTCCCTATGGGCCAAGCGTTCAAGCACACGAGTCCATGGGGGGCCGTGTGGTTTCAAACCAGCACACCCTGTCTCAAAAGAAAAATAAAATGGGCTACAGGACTAAGCAGAGTTTTCAAAAGATGAAACACGTACGGCTGAGAAACACGGAAAGCAGGATCCAGTCGCCTCTCAATGGTGCCATTGAGCTGGGGCTCGAGCTTTCAACACCTGAGTCTTCAGGGATGTTTCATATGCAAAACGTAAAGGCCAAAGTTCTGCTCTTTCCTTTCCCCTCCCTTGACTTTCAGCCAACGAGTCAGGAGAGACGCCGTTGGACATCGCCCGGCGGCTCAAGCATGAGCACTGTGAGGAACTGGTGAGCATCTGCCGTGGGCACACAGCCTGGGGCGTGATGGAGTTGGGCAGTGGAGCAGAGCTGGTCTCCCAGGACAGCACCGACAGGGTACAGCATGTGCCACAATTCATACCTGGGGAGCTGAAGAGATGGCTCAGAGGTTATGTAGCACTGGCTGATCTTCCAGAGATCATAGGTTCAATTCCCAGCAACCACATGGTGGCTCAAACCATCTATAATGATACCTGGTGCCCTTTTCTGGCATATACAGGTATAGATGCAGACAACATTGTATACATAATAAATAAATCTAAAAACAAAAAATACACACCTGGGGCATGCTCAGTACAGGCGGGCTGGAGGAGCACTCCGGAATCCTTGCCGGCCAGGTGGCTACCCACCTCAGCATGTGCTTATTGAACATGACGGTAGCCCTAGGCTCCTTAGGCAGTTGGAGCAAGGGCCAGGCTGAGCCTCCCGGTTATCTGGTTCCCGTGAGCGCCTCGCTCTCTTCTTCAGAGCATGTGCAGCTGGTTTCCCTACTTTTACCCTTCAACCCATAGCACATGGGTCAATCTGTGTTTCTCTTCCGCTCTGGAAGAAGAGGTCCTGTGGGCGGTGGAAGGAGCTGCAGAATCTGAATGGGGAACACACACACACACACACACACACACACACACACACACACACACACGCAGGCTGTGGCCTAGTTTGTGAAGTTGAGTTCATTACACTCCCTTGTAAGGTTACTGTGAGAACTGTTTTGAGTTTTGTAAAGCAGGTACATACAGTAAGCACCCAACCCACAGAACTCTTGGTGCCTCAGAACTAGATCGGGATAAACAGGTGCCCGCCTAGACACTACCCATCAACTTATTTAGTCTTTAACCTCGAGTCAGGGACAGGGACCTCCAGCGAGACCCAGGAGTTTAAATGAGCCCTCCTCCCTGGCCTGTCCGTTCTTGGTCAGGACTCCCTGTGAGGGGTCCATCCCAGCGACACTGAGTGCTCCTCCTCCTCCCCAGCTTACTCAGGCCTTGTCAGGGAGGTTTAACTCCCACGTCCATGTTGAATACGAATGGCGGCTGCTGCATGAGGACCTGGACGAGAGCGACGACGACGTGGAGGAGAAGCCACAGGTCTGCGCTGCAGCCAAACGGCTCCGTGAGCTTCAGGGCGGGGCCCCGGCCTGCTGTGTGTGTGTGTGTGTGTGTGTGTGTGTGTATGTGTGTGTGTGTGTGTGTGTGTATCTGGGTGGGTTCCAGTCTGCCCCTGCTCACTTCTCTCCTTGCCTCTGGCCGTTATGTGATCACAGGTTGCTGTGCTTGGGAGGAGTGGTCAGGTGCTGGAGTCGGGGAGAGGATCCCACTTTCTCTGGAGGCATTATATAGTCTGGTCCTCCGGGCAGGTGACAATGTTCACTCAGCTGGTCGTGTTTACCCGAGTGACCCTAGAAACCACCAGTGGGAACCGCTCAACAAACAGCCTTTAGAGTTCACTGGATCCAACTCTTTTTATTGGAGGGGGACTTGAAAGCCTCAAGAGAGGCCACTGCGGCCGAAAGCACAGGGCCCCGGCCCTGGTCCAGCTCCCTAATCACACATACTGCCAAGCATCGCTGGGGGTACATCAGGATGATGCCACCTTCGCTCGGGTCTGTGGTGCAGAGCCAAGTTCAGGCAGCCTCCCTCCGAACCCTTAACCCTTGGCCAGGACCCTTCTATGCTCCCAACGCAGCATACTGTCAGGTGTGCCAGAGTGCTCTGTCTTAAAATGAGAGGAAAGACCTTGTTGAACACATTTTTACGGTTTGATATTTCATCTCCCCCCCCCCATAGGACTGTAATGTAAAGTATAAACAAGGATGATTAGTAGGTACAAATGGAAAAAAAGTCATTTCTGAAGGCTGTGGTGGAAAAGCGGTTAACATCTGTACTTAGTATTTCTCTTTAGTACAGATCTGTAGTGATGTGACATGGTTGCATCTCAATAAATCTTTATTTATAAAAGCAGGAAGGTGTGTCTTTCAGGTCCTGAAGACCTGACTTTGACTCGTATGGTGGAAGGAGAGAACTGAGCCCCACAGTTCCCTCTGGCCCCCACACATGTGCCTATCCGTGTATAGGTACACACTATACAGAGAACACACTGTTCTTTTTTTTAAGCAAGTGATACGGTATCCCTGAGGTCAGCATTTATTGACCCCTGATTTATTGGGGTCTCAATAGCTCATCATCTTAGGGGAATGCACTTGTTGATCTGCACTGAACGAAGCACAGTGCTGGTGGAGACTGATCGCTGCTCGCTGGCCAGAGCCATTCTGTCACATAAGAAAGTGTGTTTGGCCTCAAGGACAGCATAGAGCTAGGCTGAGTGAGAGAGTTGGTTCGTAAGCTCTATCTGAAGTTCTTTACACAATAAAGAATTGCAATTAGTAAACCATTGCCTGACGTGTGTGTGTGTGTCATTAGACACAAGAAGAGTGAACGTTAAAGTCTCACAGCTCAAATGCAGCAGCACAGCGTGGGGATGAAATGGTTCCCACCGAGGAGTAGCGATGGGTGAGTGTTCACTGTTGAGTTGGTCTGACTCACAGGAAGCCATAGCTCCGTCTCATGTTCTTGCCCTGCCGTTCCCCTGCAGCCCAGTCCCAACCGGCGGGAGGACCGGCCCGTCAGCTTCTACCAACTGGGGTCCAGCCAGTTTCAGTCCAATGCTGTGTCTTTGGCCAGAGACACCACAAACCTCACCAAGGACAAGCAGAGGGCCTTCGGGCCCAGCATCCTGCAGAATGAGACCTACGGGGCCATCCTGAGTGGCAGCCCGCCCTCCTCCCAGTCGATCCCCTCCGGCACCACCAGCGCACCCCCACTCCCACCTCGGAATGTTGGTGGCAAAGGTATACTTTTCTGAGTCCCCCACAAATGCATATGGGCTTTGGCTTTGAGAAGTTTGATGTGTGGGTGCTTATTTTGTAGTGATTTTCTTTTCTCTTCCTTCAGGAATTCTGTTATTTTTAGCATGCCACACCAGTAGTGATCCTGCCTGGGTTCTTACTCTGGCAGAGTGCACGGGGCAATGCCAGGCTGCCCAAGCAAACCAGAGGTGATGGGCCGGCCTGCAGATGGTCAGCTAGGGCGCCCACTGCTGCCCTTCCCACAGTGCTCTTGTCATTCTTTCCCCATCAGTCTCCTCCTGGTGTCCTGATTATCCCCCTTCTTCTTCCTCAGGGCTAGCTTGAAGCACTGTAATGAGTTAGGATCTCCCTAGAACACCATTGAGGTGAAGGAGGAAAAAGTAGCCGTTTGGGGAACGATGCTCAACCTAATTGTAGAAACACGAAAGTGTGGACCCATCTTTTAAGTGTGAAAAGCTTTACGAAGCAACCCCGTCTTCACATGGCAGATACACCAGACAAATGACTTTTGTTTGCTTGCTTGCTTGCTTGCTTTTACAAACACGGAAACACGAAACAGTTTGCCTCTGTGCTTCTCGAGGGAGCCAGCAAGTGGCCAGTCCAGGCCAGATGGTAGGCCTCAGGGCCTCCCAGGTCAAGGACGGGGAGGGGGGTCCTCTGGGAAAAGTAGCAGCTTCCGCTTGCTGTCCCCGGGCTGCGGCTGCTGTGCATAAAAACACTGTACATTGTTTCTTGCGGCAGCTGGGGAGTGGGGGTGAGTGTGGGGTGGTTCTGGGTGCTGAGTAGCCGGAAGGCCAACTGAACAGGCCACAGGTGTCACTGTCCTGCACTCAGGGAGGCCCAAAGAGGCGAATCACGAAGGAGCCACAGGCATGAAGAGCAGGCCCTACACCCTACACACGCGCACACACACAGGCATACACACACAGGCACATGTACAGCCACCTCCCACAGATCATTGATTCCTCCTGGGCTTAAGAAGCACTCTCTGTTGCCTCCTACAGGCTGTCTGGGGCAGTGCAGCCCCTTTTAGGCATCTCACTGCTTCTTTGACTTGGAGAGGTGTGTTAATTCTGACAGGCCCAGTGTCCCAGAGACTGGGTATCTATAGGCGTTCCCAGGAGAGGCTTGTGCTGGCCCTGTGACAGAGACTGCATTCGCTCCCGTGGGTGGAAGGCGAGGACTGGTCAGCTCCTCATCTTGATTTCTTGCAGTCCTGGAAGCAGATTATTTTTCCCACATTTTTTGCCATTCTATTTTTAGCTCCTTTTTTTTTTCTTTACATGAAGTAAATGACACCCCTATTCTGCCTTTCTCCTGCCCTGAAGTCCATACTTGGTGTGAAGATGGAGTGGTCACACCCTGGGGTGGGGTTAGCCCTGCTGCCGCCCCGGGTCCCGCCCTGAGACGCAGAGCTTACCGTAGGCCGAGTGGGAAGGCTCCCGCCCAACCCTGGGGCTGCTGTGTCTCACCGCCAGGCCCAGCCCTCCCCCTTGGCACAGGGCCACCCCTGTGCATCTCAGCGAATGGCACACGGTAAGCGTCATCGCTGTGGGGATCGCCTGAAGCTAGTGGACCGTCTATGCTCATTTCCAGGCAGACAAGTTCCAGGAGCCTGGGGGAGAGCCCTGCCCCTTGTGTTTGGAACACGCCCTTCCTCTTGTCCACACTGGCCGAGAACAGCATCTGTGGCCCACAGTGGGAGGCCATAGGAGGGCATCGATGAGCAGAAGTTCTGAACCTCCAAAGCCATGCTCAGTAGATTTATGGGTATCTATTTCCTTCTTCAGACTATGCTATCTTTTTAGATGTTGACTATCAAATTGAGAAGGCCCCCTGTGAACGTTCCCTGGAGCACCTCTTTTATTCGTTAATTATATTTTGTTTTTTGCGGCGTCTCACTTTCCCCACTGGAGGAAAGGGTACAACTCAGGGCCCCGTCGCTGTTCTAGAAGGCTCATGTTGACCTTTTACGAGTGAGAGGATCAATAACGAAGTGTTCTGTTTCTGTTTTTGTTCCGTGTGTGTGTGCGCGTGTGGACGCGTGTGGGTTTAGTTCAGGCAGCCACCTCGGCTAACACCCCGTGGAAGACAAACTCTGTAGGTGTGGACGGTGCCAGCAGGCAGCGATCTTCGTCAGATCTGCCAGCTGTCCACCCACCGCTTCGAGTGACATCTACCAGTACGTTTTTTTGTTGTTGTTGTTGTTTTTTTTTACTCCCTTTTTCCTTTCTTGCCAGTGGGCCTTAGGAGTCTGGAAGACAGGGGCCACTGTTGGCAGCCACCTGGGGGAGACAGCTGTGAGCTGTCCACAGACACACACCAGGTGTTGCCCGAGGCCCCAACCCCGGCAGCCTCTTGCCGCAGATCCCCATTCACTCCCTCGCCACCCCCAAGATGGCTCATTCTCTACTTCATCTCGAAATTCATTTTAACAGCATCCACACCTTCAGTTCCTTTGGCTCTGTAGTGGTTTATTTGGGAGCAGTCATTTCAGTCATGCCAGTGTGTGGTTGGCAGTTCCCAACCCCGGGAGACAGGCAGTAGGAAAGGTCCTTTCTTCTGCTGCAGAGCCAGACACTTTTCACCGGGCCGGTGACACCAGCCCTGACTGTTCCCTACCTTGCCTTGGCCTAAGGAAGTCCCACATCTCTGAGTCTATTGCTTCCAGGACTGAGGCTCTTCCTAGGCCATGGTGCCTGTGGCTTATACAGAAAGCGGCTCTAGCCCTTCTGCAGGAATTGCCAAGAGGGTAACAGTAGCAACAGCAGCAGCAGCAGCAGCAGCAGCAGCAGCAGCAGGGACAGTATGTCCACGAAGTTCTGCAGAGGGATTTGGGGCAAGGTCCAACTGCAGTATGCTTAAGTCAGCCATGGAGAAGATTCTCAATATGGTCTTCCTGGGATAATCTAACTTGGACTTTTCCATTAAAATGGAAAAGGGAAGAAAGAGAGAGGGAGAGAGACCATAAAATAGATCCTTTCATTTTTCCCCCCTCCCCATAGTCCATCCATCTTGTTCTGTATGTTTGTTTCCATCCTGAGGCAAGCCACTGTCAAGGGCCTGGGGATCCGTAATTTCTGAGAGATAGGTGGTATGAAGGAAGGCCCAGGCACAGGACCGCACTCTTTGTTGATTTTTTTGTTTTGTTTTGTTTTCTGTTTTTTAAATAGCTCTGCCCACTTTGGAAGTCATCTGCCTCAGCCATAGCCTGTTTTAAAAATTCAGTAATAGTAATAAAAACCATCACCTCTGCACTCAGACTGGGGACCCCATACCAGGTCGATTGTCACAGATTGTCCTTAGACTGTCCACAGGCCAGTGGGGTGCCTAGGGCTTTGTTCCTTTCTGGGGGCTGGCTCCCTTGATGCAGGAAGAGCCCTGGCCCAAGCATTCTGAACTCCCCAGGGCAGATGGCAGGTGTAACTAGCCTCGGACTCTGCCCCCTCAGCTGGCTTACAGGCAGGTGAACACAGAATTAAGGGCTGGCCCCTCCACAGGTTCCTGGCTAAACACACACACACACACACACACACACACACACACACACACACACAGTGGTAGCTGAGGCTCTGTGCCCCTAGGTTTGCCCCTCCTTGTGGTTTCCCAGAGGAGACAGGCTGAGAAGCAGCCATAGGTGTTCTCAGAAGAGTGAGTGCTAGAGAAGGGAGAAAGCTCCAGAAAGACCAGGTATGGATGGGACTTACAGGGCTCACTCTCTTCCTCCCCCTTTCCTCTCCACAGATTCCCTGACCACCACACCACCCCCTCCTGCGCCTAAGACGTCAGGCACGCTAGAAGCCATGAGCCAGCCAAGCAAGTCCTCCCAAGCCGGGGCCTTGCAGAGCAAGCCCCCACCCCTGCCGCCCCAACCACCCAGCCGCCTGCCTCAGAAGAAGCCAGCTTCCGGGTAACCATTGCCCCTGCCTGGCCACTCTGTGCCCGGCCACATCCACCAACACTGCCTCTCACATTCAGAGGGCTTCCAATGGCATTGACCCCATTTCTTCATCTGTTGGGATTTCTGTCTGAGCCCCGGAAATCTCCCGTGTCTCTACCATGCTAGGGTGAGAGGTTAAGTGCTATGTACCCTACTGCTCAGCAATCCACTGAGGAGGTTTTGTTTTGTTTTGTTTTTTTGTTTGTTTGTTTTTGCTGAAAATGAGCTTAGATTTTTGTGTATTAAAACTGGGATTTTTTGGAGCTGCGTTCTCAAGAACCAAGGTCCTGCTGGGTCTCTGTTGTGCTGTCTGGAAACATGATCTTGATTGCATGGTCCCTCCGCTGCATCCGTTAGATGTTCTCCGTAGACAAGGGCTTTCTCTTTTGTGCACACACTGCAAAGGGATCTAGTTACCCTTTTTGAAAGAATCTAAAACTTTCATATTTTACTCTGTGTGTCTGCGTGTTTGGCCTGCTTGCATGTGTGTGCACTGTGTATGTATCTGGTGCCTGAGGGGGCCAGATAAAGGTGCCAGATTCCTGGAACTGGGAGTTAAAGATGGTTGTGAGCCACCATGTGGGTGCTGGGAATCGAACTCATGCTCTCTGGAAGAGTAACCATGCTCTGAACCACTGAGCCATCTCTAAATCTCTTAATCTATATTTTTATAGTAGAAAGTAGATTTTGTTTGAAAGTCTTTGTTTTTGTGGCTACGCTACTCAGACATTTCACGTGAGAACCTTTTGGGGGAACATGTCATACCCAGAGCCTAACATGAGGTTTCCTCGAGGTGGTGTGGCTGTTTGTCTACAGAACTCTGAGCGAATTTTTTTTTCCCCCTTTTCCCTTGGGCAACTCAGGTTCTTGGTGTCTGCCTAAAAGGTGTACGATTTCTGGGAGTCACGTTAAAATTAATGTTATACTTGGTCCCTCTGCTTTTGAGATGTTCTCACCAGTTGCCCCTAGCGTCCTCGGGTAAAATGCCCTGTGCTGTGCCCTCCCTGGAATGAAAGCTGTCTTCAGTTCACCGGGGGGGGGGGGGGGCGCACCTAGGAGTCCAGGGGTCTGCCAGCTCCTTACATAGCTTTGGGGTTTTTGTTCTTGTTTATTCTTGGTGAATTCTCTTGTTCGCTGCATGACCTGCCCTATCTTCCAGAGGTTCTTGGCCTGACAGGGATATCCCCGTACACCTGGGACTATATTCCAGGCCTTTCCTTAAAAGTGTGTGGGAGTCCCCTGCTTGGTCAGCTGGGTCAATTATAAATCATCCTGACATTTGTAGCTTCTAGCATTTTTTCCTTTTCAGTTCTTTGTACATTTTGGTTTGAATTTTGATTTCTAATTCTTTTGCTTGGGAAATGAAAGGTTTTTTTTGTTTGTTTGTTTTTAATATATGCTATTCCCTCCTTCTCCCTCCTCCCCTGTCTTTTTTTTTTTTCACTCCCATCCCACTTTCTTTGTGATCCTGGGGATGGAACCCAGAGCTTTGTGCCTGCTGTGAATGCATTCCTCACTGAGCAGCAGCCCCAGGCCACAGTCTGATAGTTTTAAATCAGAATGCCGTGTGTACTGCTTTGCCAAGACATCCTTCTGCAGCCCAAAGCACACATCCACGCTGCACTATTTGTCAATGGTGAAGTAAGGTTGGCTGCTGAATTACACCGTGATGAGTATGCGTCCCAAGCCTCTATGCTAGATGGCCTGTGCCTCTCCTGGTCCCTTTGTTTCCTTCCTCTTACTCTTGTAATGTTCTTGGATTCTCTGGCTCTGAGATGTTGCCTTTTAAGGGGCCAGGTCATGTCTAGAAGTCATGGACAAGAAACTGTGGGCTCCTGGCACTCCCCAGGCAGATGAGAACAGTGGTACTAGCCAGCAAGCACCAGGTCCCAGGATCCTCTTCCCAGCCACTTCCCCAGGGCTCGTAAGAGCCAAGCTAGGACTGTGGATGAGTTCTCTGTCTAGTGCTGTCTCACTGGTTTTAATCCAACTGAAAGGGAAGGTAGGGACGACAGAGCAGATGACGCGAGGGTAGGGATGAACGGAACCAGGCTGCCACTGCTGGTAGAGCTCCATTTAAAGGAGGACATGGTGTGTATTCTTCATAAAGATCCCCCCCCCATTATTTTGAACATGATATAAATCTGTCATTTCATATTTGTTCCTTTAGAGCAGGAGCCAGCGAGAGCAGGCCCACAGGCAAGCTGCCACTACTGCTTATGTCCATGAGTCACAAGCTGTCAGTGGGGTTTGTACTGACAGTGGTGGGTAAAATTTTCAGATGAGAATGTTTCGTGGCATGTGAAGTTCCTGGGACTTAAGATTTTAGTACCTGTGTCTTAGCTTCTTTTCTCTTGCTGCGAAGAGAGACACCATGACCAAGGCAACTTACAAAAGAAGGCATTTATGGGGGCTCACAGTTCCATAGGCAAAGTCCTTGATCATCGGGGTGGGGAGCATAACAGCAGGCAAGCAGGCAGGCAGGCAGCCCCTGGAGCAGTAGCTGAGAATACACATCTTGATACTCAGGCACAAGGCAGAGAGAGAGCTAACTGGGCCTGGCATGGGCTTTTGAAACCTCACACTCCACCCTCAGTGACACAGGCCACACCTCATCCTTCCCAAATACTTCCACCTAACTGGGGGACCAAGTATTCAAATATGTGAGCCTATGGGGGTCATTCTCATCTAAACCACCACACTTGTAGGTGAAGTTTTGTTGGCATGGCACACTCTGTATGCTGACAAGCCATCCATGGTGCCTTCCCACCTAGACAGCAAAGCTAAATAGTTGCCATAGAGACAAACTTACAAAATGTATCATTTAGTCTTTTACTTTTTTTTTTTTTTTTTGTATTGGCCTAGGTTGGCCTTGAACTTTCAACCCTTCTTCCTCCTGAGAGTTGGGTGCATTCTGCTTTAACCTGGCCTTTGAGAGCAAGGCTGGCTGACTACGGTTCTCTGCTAAGTACCTCTTGTGAGCACTTCATAGCTGGGTTGACCACAGACTAGGAAGTTGGCCATTCAGCTTAATGCGTGCCCAGAGGCAGTGGGAATCAAATTGAGCCCCAAGCAGAGGCTCTTACGGTTTTTCAGCCCCTTGAAAATAAGAATACAACCAAGTCTTGTTCTTTTCCTCTACATCCGAGGCTGTGGACACTAGCACCCAGATAGTCTCACTGGGGTTGCAGAGGAAGCCCCTGAAGGAAGTGACCTGCTGTGGAAAGAATGCCATCCCAGGCGGCCTCCCTGCTTCCTCAGCCCCTCCCAAGGCTTGCCTGCCCAGTTGTTTGTCTTGCTTCCTGCTAGGTCCCACCAGCCCCACTAGGCCGGGAGGATAAAGTTTCTTTCTTAGCCCTCCAAGACCGTAGTCCCTTCTTCCTTTAGAGAATGAACGAAGCAAGGTGTCCTGCCCTCTCCAGGTGAAAAGCTACTTCCCTGCGTCTCTTCCAGTGGCAGGTCTGAGTGCATGCAGCCCCCTTTGCCATCTGTGGGAACCACCCCTTGTTTGTGTCCACAGCACGGCTACAGGAGATGCTGGACACGGAAGGCGACAGGCCTGTGGTCAGCCTGTGGACCCCAACATTGGTTCCTAGAGTAGGCGTCACGGGAGCTCAGGCATGGGCGGCACTGACTTGTGACGCCTGCACAGAGCCAGGCAGAGCCACATCCAGGCCTGCACATCCCAGGCCTGAGATGAAGTTTCAGCCCCTCCCTTTCATGTAACACCGAAGGCTCAAGCTGGACTAAGCAAACAGTGAAGGGAAGCAGAGATAGCTGCTTAGCCTTCTGGCCCATGTTAGCATCAGGATCCAGCGCTTTGCTCCAGACCTTTCCTTTTTTCAAGAATGTGGAGGCAGCACCCATGATGGGATACAACAAGAAAAGCTTGAGCCCTGATGAGGGGGCTTCCCTGATGGAGGGAGTAAGACCGAGCAGGTAGCCTCCGTGATCAACAAGTCTGTATTTCCTTCCTTGTAGGACTGACAAGCCAACCCCACTTATCAACAAAGGCCAGCCACGAGGACCTGGTAATTAATTATTCAGCTTGGATCAGGTTGATTCTGAGGTGGGGGGTGGGGTAGGAGAGCCAGTGGATTTCTAGGTAGCTGCTCAGCCAGCCCTGGTCTGGGCCTAGTAGCTTAAGTTTCTTGCACTGTGAAGGCAGAAAGTTCTCCGCCTTGTCCAGGGCTTTTCTCTTGATACAGCCAAACTTGTGGAGGTCCCCGCCTTCAGACATAACCCTGTGATTCTTACAGTTGTTGTCTTACAGTTAGAGCGGATGGGGGCAGAGGAGGGGTGTCTCGTGAAGCTGCTTAGTCTTGGCCCTAACGCAGTGGATTTCTCTCAACAGAAGCTTCGGGTCCTCTGTCCAACGCCATGGCCCTGCAGCCCCCAGCCCCCATGCCTAGAAAGTCACAGGCGGTGAGTGGACACACCTGCCATCCTGCCCCTCACTAGTTACAGGGCTCCAAGGCAGCCAGGCTTTCTGGTACCGTATCTCCTGGGGGTGGGGGGAGCGAGCTGGCCCTTGAGCACCGGACCCTAGCTGTTTCATTTCCTCCCTCTGCCCAGGCTCCTGCTGCACCGAGCTAGCCCCACTTGCTTGACCTTTCTTGTGGGTTTCCCAGTTCAGGGTACTTGGCTCAGGAGGCAATCGGAAGGCAAGAGGCCTGGTCTCTACCTGAGGACTTGGCTTCCTGCTACACTAGCCTTCACCCTTCCTCTTCTGATGCAGACCAAGTCAAAACCCAAGCGAGTCAAAGCTCTCTACAACTGCGTGGCCGACAACCCGGATGAGCTGACTTTCTCTGAGGGGGATGTGATCATTGTGGATGGGGAAGAGGATCAGGAGTGGTGGGTGAGTAGGGGAGAGGGCACGGGGGCCCTGTGCGTAAGTCAAGGGCATGGGGTCACGGTGAGGGGAGGCTGTATGTAAGTCAGGGTGGGGCCACAGAGCCTGTGCACGATGGAAGCTCTTGGCCTTGACAGTCTGGGTCTGGTGCTGCTGCCAGACCGGTGTGCAGTGCCTTCCGCATCCTATGGTGTTTCCTGTGTGGGCAACCTCCTGAGTGGGCCTGATCTGTCCTCAGGTGACTACCTCACTATTATGATGGGTAGACCACTTGGGCTACATTTTTAGGGAACGCGTGACCTGCACTGAGAGCTTTGAGGTTCCAGGTTCCCACACGCAGCCCTTCACTGCCAGTCCGTGGAGGATGGCATCCAGAGAGCCGGGCTCCAGGGTAGAGTGCTCGTGCCACCCCGAGTCCATCATGCTCCTGGGATGAGAGTGGCGGGGGCACTTAGCGGCTGGGGACCTTGGCAGCAGGTGCACAGATCTATAGACCTGGGTGACATCATTTCTGCATGGAAGCTGTCCAAAAAGATGCTGTGAGAAGCAGTAGTGATGAGGAACACACCAGGGGAACAGAACATACATGGAAAGCAGGGACTGCCACCCAGTGGCCACTAATGTCCCTGCCCCGTGGACAAGGCTCGGATACCTCAGGACTTGGGGAGGACCCTGCTTGTCCATCTCAAGGCCTTTGATTTGTTACTGCTCCTCCTGCAAGCCCCCCCTTCTGCGATCTAACCCCTATGTTCTCTGCCGCCAGTGGGTCTGGGGCTCAGCCTTGTAGCAAGGCTGTTGGAGTGGCTGCCTTCACCTTTCTGGAAGGAGGCAGGCGCTCTAGGAAGCACGAGCAGGAAGGAAAAAGAAAGTATAGTGTAGCTGTCTGTCATTCTTTGGCAGAAGTTCCTCCAAACAGACACAGAAACATTGTGTAGCCCCTCCAAGTTTGCACCATTGGTAACCCAAGCTTGCTCATTTCAGATTGGCCACATCGATGGAGACCCCAGCCGCAAAGGAGCCTTTCCTGTGTCATTTGTGCACTTTATTGCCGACTAGACTGCCACTGAACAAAAGCCTTTGTTTAGCCATTAAGTTCCATTTTGTTATTGGTACCAAGACAAGCCACAGACAGTCTCATGGGTCATGCTGTACGGCAGCCCATCTTCTTATCATACTGTTCCGTTCTGAAAACTCAAAGGCATTTTTTATATATAAGCAGATTGTTTTCTAAGTTGTGGTTTTCACGCAACATTGCTATACTTTTACTAGGAAAAGCGGAATTTCCTAAAAAGGGGGAACGAGAAGCTATTTTAACTATATACCCAGGATCCTGCATTGCCAGGAGTAGCTGAGCCTAAACGAAGCTTAAACAAATTTGGGGGATTCTTACAGCTTTCCTTAGCCCAGTTCTGACATTGGTTACCTTGTTTAACAAGCCAGCACCATGCTGTTTCCAAGTCTGTTGACCTGCCCCGGACTTTGTCCACAAATGCCATCCATTCACATTTAAAGACACATATTCCTTTGAAACTCAGCCAGTGTCTGTTTAGAGCAACTTGGCAAAGCTTACACGTTAGCCTGGTACTTTCCTGCACCTGTGAGGTGGCAGCTGCCATGATCCCCTGCATGCATGTATGACCCGTTGTTGTGAACAGTCATACCTAGCATACTACTACTGATGGGTTATTACAGCAGAGCTAAAAGCAGTCTGCTCTGCACCAGGTATTTTTAAACTGCAGTTCCTGAATTTGGTTAAAAACTAAAGATGATGGATTGCAAAACAGCCCTTTAAACTAGCTTGTATGCCTTAGGTGTCTTAGCCTCCTTCAGCGTCCCCCGTCATGCAGAAAGCAACTGTACGCGAATAGGGTACGTGGTGCAGACCACTGTAAGAAGCACGTTCCTCCCTGTGTCCTGGCACATGCCGCAGCCTTCCCTTCCCAGCTCCCACGGACACCTGCTCAGCTTAGTGTCTTGTCGTTAATAGGGTTCTCCAAAAAGAATGGTAGCCACACTGTCTTGAATTTAGCCTGTCCAGTTGTTTGTATTCAAGAGCATATCAGAAATCTGTAGATCTTGGGGAGCACAGTACCCCCGAACATCCCAGTTCACTAGGTAAGGCCATTGCATCACTCTGAAACTTGCAATATGTGGGGTGGGGGAGGGGAACTAGGTTGTATATGATAAAAATCAAAACTCATTAGTTTCATGAACTTGACTGTCATACCTCTACTTAATAACTAAGCGTAAGAGTCACAGTAGGGATATGGGAAATTCTGGCACTCTTTCAGAATTAAGAGGCAAGCATAGGGTTTTAACAAAAGCTGGAGGTCAAGCAAAAGGCATAGATTTAAGTGTAAGCTTGACAGCAAGGCAGTGACGCTGCCGCGGTGGCGCCCGTGACTGACACAGCTCCGTCTCTATTCTCTGTGCAAGGCCCGTCCAAGCACAGAGCTTTCCTTTCTTTGTTTCTTTCAAAGAAAACAGGACAAACTGGAATGGCTTATGATGCTATATAGTGATTGCTTCCTGTCTTTCAGATTCTGGGTAAAAAAAAAAAAAAATACGTGTTACATCTGTAAGTCTCTCTCTCCCAACACTACATCCCTTTTTTACTACTTGTTAATTTCTGTCATTTGAGCCCTTCTAGTGACTTTTCTCGTAGACTCACGAGCTCGAACGGATGCATTTTGCACATTGCACTTCCCAGTACCTCGTTTCCAGCGCTCCCCACCCCATCCAAGGGTGCATCTGTATCATCAGTCTTTGGTGGCCTGGTGCCAGCTCTCTGAGGAATCAAGTTGACTTCTGTCAGCATTATAGCTGCAGTCCCAGGCTAACCTATCGGGTTCACTGGTACATAAATACCTAGGAAATATTTTTCCACTCTCTAATTTGATGGCGCTATTATGGAGTAATGGATAGTACTTTTTACCAGAAGAGAAATTCTATTGACTTCCCTCCTAATTATCTTTTCGTAGTTATTTGCTCTTTGCAAATTGAAAAGAAAAAGTTAACTGAAAGGAAAACATTGTAGATATCTATTTATATTTAAAGTTTACATTTCATGAGCGTCAGCTGCAGAATTTTGGCTTTTTTTTTTTTTTTTTTTTTTTTTGCCACTTTCCATCAGGTCTGACTTGGAGGGAAGATGACTCAGAAATAGGGTGCACAGACTAATGTGATCTGTTGAGGGTAGAGAATGACCTGCAGCCTAGAATGCTATTTTGAGATGTATGATATTCAGTTCATTCACTTGATTACTTTGGTCTAGCTGCAGCGCAAATGTATATACTGTATAACCTAAACGGATTATTTTCATTGTCTTTAATGCAGTGATTTATAATTAGAGCATGTTTAATAAATTGACTTCCTGTTAACCAGTCATTTGACTGGAAAAAAATAAAGTACTTTTAAATGGACATGGTTTTCATCCTTAAAGTGTTACCATTGGCACTCATCAAAGAGGATTCGGACCCTGAGAGCCTCTGACGGCACTTGTGAGAACCAACAGTCTTCCTCCAAGGTTCTCTGACTCTGAGATCCACACAAGTGTGCTGGGTATTATCTTGACAATACCTTTCTGTTCTGGTGCTCTCTGTCTAAGCTGACACGATCCTACTCCAAGGTCACGTGAAACCGAGGTCTCCAGGCCAAACCTCTGCCAGTCTCGAGTTCCAGGCAAGTGATCCTGAGTCCCTGGGAAGCTACCGGGTGCAAGTCTCATTCAGAGCGAACTTGGGTGACACATCATTGTCAGGCTTGTTTGCAGTTTTAAAAAAGACAACAGAGGTTTATCTTTCTTAGATTTTACTTTATTTTGTGTGTGTGTGCTGGCATGTATGTATGTATGTATGTATGTATACCACATGTGTGCCTGGTACCTGAGGAAGCCAGAAGAGGGAGTCGGATCTCTTGGAACTGGAGTTACAGGCAGTTTTGAGCCACCATATTGCTGCTGGGAACTGAACCCAAGTCCTCTGCTAGTGCTCTTAAGTACCAAGCCATCTGTCCAGCCCCCAAGATTTCTTTTAACCCAGAAAGGTGATTTATTGAAAGTTAACCTCCTGTTAATGACACCTTTTAGTATAAGACCCATGTTTTATACATTACACTTCAGGAAACTGGATCAGGGCGTTATACCCTCTAACAGTCCACTGCGGCAGGCAGATGCAGGAATAGGTGAGCTCATGATGGGTCAGTTTCCACTTGACTGCAGACTTCAGGACTTGTCAGAGGTCAACACGGAGTCAAACGCTGTGGACAGGACCTTGCAGATGGCTTGAGCTTGCTCCTGCAGTATATGAAGAGATACAACGTTGTGGGAAGGGGAATGTGACCAGTGCACATTGTACAGAATTCTCAAGGAACTAGTGAAAAGAACATAGGGTACAAATGGGATTCATGTCTCTCTCCAGAAACCACCTGACTACGTCACATTGCTTCCCCAAACCTCCCCATCAGCACCTGCCCAGCTAATAGGCGCACCTGACACGGGCAGACAGTAATGGCTGGTGCAAAGTAAGCCCTAAGACTGAGAAGATGGTACCTCAGGAGTAGGAGAGCTCTGACCCAGCCCAAGTCAGTGTTGCCCAACAAGCACTTCCCAGCCCTGTCTGAGTAGCTGCTGACCCAGAGTTCATTCATTCTGAGGAGGCGGATCTCTGAGTTCGAGGCCAGCCTGGTCTACAGAGTGAGTTCCAGGACAACCAAGGCTAAAACAGAGACACTCTGTCTCAAAAATCAACAACAGCAGGTGTGGAAGATCATAGTATCACCATTTCATCTATTGAACAGCAACAAGCTAAGATATCTCACCAGGCTGTTACACTGGTAAACCCAGAGGCTGTACTCTTCATTGCTTGCATCTGTGGTCTTGAGTGCCAGCAAGCTCTTCCCAGCTCCCAGGCCATCATCGTAACACACCATCCGGATGATTAAATACAGGGCATGCCTATGCAGAACACCCTGCGGGAATCACAAAGACCTTCAGAAACCTGTGACATGGCTGCCAGTGTTTCTCAGTTCTCAGCAAACACATTTTCCCCCACACAGAATGCATTAGGAGGCTTGAAAAGGCAGGTCCACAGATCTGGGGGAAAGGACTGCACAGTTTCTCAGCCCAAGGGACACTGGTATGTCTAGTTACGGGGTGACTTGCTTTCAGGATCATGTTTTTTTTAACCCAGAGAAATAGGAACAAGGTAATCTAAACTGTTGTTGCTGTCTGGCCTCCATGCCAACGAACAGCTACTTTCAAAGGATATGAGGTCCCTTGATGAAGCACATGGGACCCGGAGGTACGTGGGAGATAGAAAAGAAGCCCATGTTCACCCTCAGGAATGAGCAGACCCTAACCCCAGCAGGACACAGGAGTCCAAGTGCGCCCTTGAAGGCTCCTGAGCTCAGAGAAAGAACGTACAGAGTGCTGCACTTACATGCTGATCTGTGGTGGAAACTTTTATGCCGTACTTGGAAACACCGAGAATAAACTCTTCTTCCAGGGGAACAAAAGGCAACTTTCCATCTTGCTTTAAAATGAAAATAAATCATGCCACACACATTAAAACCACACAATCATCTTCAGTTCGATTAGTTGCATTTAGTATCTGCTTATCACAGCCTCAGACCCTTTAGAATCCAGTCTACACAAAAATTTTCCCCCAAATTCAGATCCATCCATTCTCTGTGTGCTGTTCTGTCCTTTGTAGTGTAAACCCTAATGGCAAATGGAGATCCTAGCCATAGGTGACATTAAGATGTTCACGTTATTAAGCCAGGCGTGTTGGTACAAATTTTTAGTCCCAGCACTTGGGAGACAGAGGCAGGCAGATATCTGAGTTCAAGGACAGCCTGATCTACACAATGAGTTCTAGGATAGCCAGGGCAGTCTGAAAGAAAAATGAAATTTACAATGTTTAGATTTAAATATCCTCAAAGTGTATCTTCATGTCAGGACAAGGAATGACCAGGAAGCTAGATAGCAGAGACATCTCCAAGTCCTTTTCTGTATTAACGCTAAGATAACACCTTGCTAGCGACAGCTCCCAGGGCTCAGGATGACAAACTTGATGAGTTAACTCCACTCACAAAACTGTCAATCAGTGGTTTGAGCTGTTAACAGTGAGTGGTAACCTGATCATACCCAATCCCCAGCAGATCAGATGGTTCCATCTACCTAAGAATGCTGCCTAATTTGTCTTTTCAAGAAAGATATAGCTGGCCGGGTGGCAGTAGCACACACCTTTAATCCCAGCACTTGGGAGACAGAGGCAGGCAGATATCTGAGGTGGAGGCCAGCCTGGTCACAGATTGAGTTCCAGGACCACCAAGGCTGTACACAGAAACCATCTTGACACAGACATACACACTAAAAAAAAAAAAAAAAAGAAAAGGAAAGCTATAACTGACAGATAGGAGGTGTGCTGTACTGTAAATGTATTATAGTAAGTGAGCCATGTCCAGACACCTCAGTTCTTGGCTCTCCCAGTATTAAGAGTATTCCCTGCCAATCAAAATGATGCTACTGTCAATGATGGTACTTTACTAAACAAAAGCTCTGTGGTGGATGAAAAACTTAGCCATCCTTACAGAATGAAGAGAACGCTAATATAGCTTTGAGCATCTTTCTACATAATGCTTAGAAAATTTGTCCCTTCTGCTTTGTTTGAATGACCATATTTCAAGCTAAATGCAGGGATAACTAACAGGCTCTACCAAAGATTCTGCTCAACTGCAAATTAGATTCACTAAGCCATGAAGATCTGAGTCCTATCTAATACTCCTACTCTCTACGATTTAAGAGACGGCAGGGTCTCTGTGATGTGTTGGCAGTTCTGTGCTCTTGTGATGTAGACCCTGGTAGCCTTGAACTCAGAGATCTGCCTGTCTCTACCTCCTGACATGTAAAGGTAAATATATACATCTTATAATTTTATTTCATAAACTGTATGGCAATATCTTAATTTTCCTAAAGATACGTGGTTTTTTTTGTTTGTTTTTGTTTTTAAGGACGGGGGTTTTGCATATATGTATGTGTACCATGAGCATGCAGTGCCTGAGGAGGCCAGAAGAGAGGGCTGGTCCTCCGCGGCTGCAGTTACGAACGGTTGTGAGCTGCCATCTGGGTCCTGGGAACAGAACCTGGGTCCTCTGTAGGCTCAACCATCACACTGCCTTTCTAGCCCTACCAGGATGATCTTTTTATTTTCCTAACCTGAGCATATTTTCAAAGACTCTCTCACCTTAGTTTCTGTTGGAAATAGAGTATAAAGAAGGAGATACACCGGCAATGGTGGTTCCCACCTTCAAACCCAGCACTTAGAGGCAGAGGCAGATGAATCTCTGAGTTCAAGGACGGCCCGGGCTACACAGAGAATCCCTATGTAGAAAAAGCTAGAGAGAGAGATTTTTTTTGTTCACATCATGAGTTTTTAAATCAGTGAAACCAGTTCGGTGAAGTAAGGCTTTGACAGATTGTTTTAGAGAAGAATCTACAGAGTCTAAGCGGTCAGTGCAGTCAGTTCTTCAGTCAACCAAGGATACCAGTCGGCCCCAGAGTGAAAGGCTCTGCCTGAGAAAAACGGTCTCTTCCTATGAGGCTCTCTCCAGGACACCTTGCACTGTCTACGACTCAAAGCTGTCGAGTTGTCAGGATGAGATCCAGTTTCAGCCAGAGACGGGGAGACACTGCAGCGAACCCAGAGAAACACTGTCCTTCGAGGCCGTACACTTAGCACCATCACAGATGTTTCTGCTGGGATTGGGGTTTCTGTCACTCACCTGGGCAACGTCTATGTAATTTATCAGGTCTAGTGGTCCTTCGAGGCTCTTCCCCTCAGACACGTCCAGTTTCTCGATGGCACCAACGTACTTTATTCGAAACTCAGCACATGTGTCCAAATTGCTGTTGCTTTGTCCTAACATTAAAATAGTGAAAAGTGATGCCTTGTTGCAGGATCTCTGATCACACTGTGAACCCCGAGATTGTGTTATTTACTGGCAAAACCTGTTTCTAGTTGTGGTGTGGCTCAGCCTTAGGACACACCTTTAATCTAAGAGCTTTCTGCTTGAATATTGTAAACAGGATTAAATAATCAACCATGGATCAAGAGTGGGAGCAAGCAACCGATTGACAGGAAGTTAATATAAAAACCATAGAGAGTAAGAGGGAGTCAGGATAGACGCACACAAAGAAGGGACACTGAGTTTGAAGGAGGCTTGTTTGAGACAGCGTGGGAGAGGGGGATTCCCTCTGGGTTGTTGGCTGAGGAGGAAGGTCAGCTGATGCTCTCTTCCTCTCTGAGCTAGCAGGCTCTCACCCTAGCATCTGGCTCCCCAGTCTCTATTGGTAAAATCAGATGATTGGGATTTTGTTAAAAACAACAATGCCTACTTCACAGCACATTCTCAGTTCGCATATGGGTGATGGGTGTGTGTGTGTGTGTGTATAAACATACACATGTATATGTAAAATAAGACTATCATTAGAATATAATCCTAATCATAATGTTAGTTTTTGTTTTAAAGATTTATTTTTAACTTATGTGTACAGGCGTTGACCTATATTTATATAAACGCATCATGTACATTCAATGCCTGAAAAGGTTGATGGGTCCCCTGGGACAGTTGTACGCTGCCATGTGGTAGCTGGGAACCCAGCCAGGACCCTCTGCAAGAGTAGTCAGTGCTCTTAACCTCCTCAACCCCTATTTCATTTTTGAGACAAGGTTTCAGTATGTTTACCTGTCTCGGCCTCCCAGCGTGCTGCTGTTAAAAGCATACTCGACCACAGCAGCCTTTTATTTTATTTTTCACTGGGTTTTGAGGCAGGGTCTTGCCATCTAGCTCTGCCTAGCCTGGAACTTGCTATGCAGACCAAGCTGGCCTCAAACTCATAAAGAACCACTTTCTCTAAGTGCTGGGATTTTAAAGGTAGGCACTATCATGCCTGGCCCCACACCCAGCTTTTTAGTTACAAGTTTCTAACTGCAAGAATTTTTTTTGATGTAATAAAGAGGAACTTAAGTTTTTATTAAGCTTTTTCCTCAGTGACTGCTGACAGCAAATGTATAAAAGCCTTAATAACGGACAAAGGAATACTGAGGACCTTCATTTAAAAATAAGAAAAATTATAAAAACCAACTAGATAATGAATGGTGCCGTTATAATACATACTTCATTTCCTGACTCAGGACATCTGTTCAATCATTCAGTCAGAAATGACAATCTCTTTTTAATTTATATGGAATAATATGAGAGATAGGATGTCCCTGAACAGATGGTAACAAAATCTAGCCAGTATAGAAGCTCCCACAAACCACTTGTGACACCTGCCGTGCTAAGGAAATATAGTGCAATTATGTTTACGCTGTGTGTGTAACATTTTAACATATGGAGGTAAAGATCGAATTTTATGTGACAATATTATTTTAGGTAACATAAAAATGAATGCAGTGTATTTCATTTACTAGCTATGGAGCTAAATTATGGAGCTCAGTTAGGGGTCTCCTAGTTCCTAAGGAGCCACTAATTTGAGGTGCATGTGTAAATAACTGCACAGGTCTGGAACACGCCCTCATTTCCTGGGTATCCACTGGTCATCTCAACTAAGGTATCTGGAGACAGCCCTCGAGGTTAATGGTTCTTAAACCCTTCACCACAACACATAATCTCCTGTTCCATAAATTTGGCTATCCTACCTATTAAATAGCTGCTTTGAAACTGCTAAGTCATTGCCATGGGGTGTTTTCAGATGCTTGCTCTCAGATCCACTGAGAACGCTTTGCTTAAATGCCTTTGGCAAGCTCCTAGCACACAGTGCCTTCACCCATCTTGCCAAATTGTGGTCCAAGTCTGAACTTCCCAAAAGTGGCAGAGGAGAGGGAGAAAAACCAGAACAGGAGATCCCCGACACCACACAAAACCACGAGAGTAAACCCAAGACCAGTCACCAAGTCGCCCGGCCCCTCCTCGTACCTGAGCTTTTGGTGGAGTCAGTATCGAGGCTGGCGACAGTGCTGGATCTTGAAAGACCTCCCAGGCTGGAGTCCACAGACTGAGAAGAAACACAGTAAGGCAGATGTCTTCTCTGACGCAAGTTATTTATTAAGCTGAGCTGACCCTATCGGGTTAATTATTCAAGCAGACTGACTGTGGCTGAAGACATTTCCCACAGTGAGTGTCAAGAGTCACGTGACAGCTCTTGCACCTACACACTAGGCACATGTGCTGTCAGCATCCTCAGCCTGAGGCTAAGCCATGAGCTCCCTCCCTCACTCTGCCTTACGCTTGGAGACTTTGTGAACACCTCCTCTTGCATTCCTATTGTTTCCGTGGAAGCCTCAAAGGAACCCTGTGCAGAGAGGCAGCCAGTGAGCCGTGTTTCTGTCTGAGAAGCGAAGAGAGACCAGGTCAAACCCAAGTCTCTCCCTGTTCCTAAGCTGGCCCTCAGCAATGACTTCCTCTAGCTTCTGGCACCCAGCAGGCTCAGGGTTATTAGCAGACAGTATGGCTGTCAATGTGACAGAATAAACAAAACTGGTGGTCAAAATTTAGATGACGTAATTAGTTCTAAGGAATAGATGTGTCACTTGTTTCTTGGAAATGGCATTCTGTGAAAAGCCTGACTCAGAAGGTGTTTCATCAATCCACTGGTGCTGCCAGACAACGCTCAGAAAGTCTGGTAAAGGGAGCTTTAAGCATTCTTGCTGTGAAGGAAATACTGTTAGGCACACAACAAACCCTAGACTCTGTGATATCTCACCCCCACTGCCTGCAGTTTCTGTCATTTAAGAACAATATTCAATGGGCTGGTGAAACGGTGCAGCACTTCAAGAGGATCCAAGTTCAGGTCCCAGCATGCACAGCAGCTCAGAACCCACATAACTCCAGCTCCAGGGATCGAGTGCCTTCTTTTGGACTTTTTTGTTTGTTTTTCATTTGTTCGTTTTTGAGGCAGGGTTTCTTTGCGTAGCCTTGGCTGTTCTGGACTCACTTTGGAGACCAGGCTGGCCTTGAACTCAGAGAAATCCACCGGCCTCTGCCTCCCTGAGTACTAGAATTACAGGCGTGTGCCACCATTGCCGGGCTAAAATATCTTTTTTTTTTTTTAAAGATTTATTTATTTTATGTATGTAAGTGCTCTATCTGCAGATACACCTGTACGCCACAAGAGGGCATGATATCCCAGTATAGATGGTTGTGAGCCACCATGTGGTTGTCAATAATTGAACTCAGGACCTCTAGAAGATTAGACAGTGCTCTTAATCAATGAACCCTCTCTCCAGCCTCATAAATTAATTTTTAAAAATTAATTAAATTTAAAAAAAGAGTCAAGCATGGTGACCCACACCTGTAATCCCAGCACCTGGGAAGGGAAGAGTCAGGAGATAAAGGTTATACTCTGCTACAGGAGGCCTTGTTGTGAGTTCAAGGCCAACCTAAGCTACCTGAAGCCCTATCTGGAGGAGGAGGAGAAAATGGGATTGTATATGGGTCTTTAAGATGGTTTCAATGGGTTAAGGGTGGTTGCCCAACCCCTACAACCTGAGTTCAATCCCTGCTATCAACATGGTGGCGCCAACTCCTGCCATTTGTCCTTCTGGCCTCCACAAGCGTGCTTCAGCCCACGTGCATCTCAATCCCTCAAGTAAACAAAGTTTTTTTAAAAAATGTTAAATCAGTCTGTTTTAATGAGACCACTCATAGCTTTAGTCTCATCTGGTGTAATGAATTTTAAAATTTCAGAAATTTTCCAAAATAATAAAATCAGAGCAAGCACAGAGTGGCTCTCTAGTACAGAAACAAGTATCGTGGGCGGGCAGGGTGAGGACGGGTCGGCCGTGGCCAGTGCGCTGCGCAGCGCCAGTTCCGAGCGCACCCTCAGTGCTCCGGGCCTCTGCCCGCCCTGGCCTCTTACCTTGCTCTTTGTACTGATCTCACTGCTCTGGGAACTGCTGCTGCTGTGTCTCTTCTTGCCCTTGCGAAACATCTTTCACCATAGCTTGATCCACAGAGGAGGCCCTGGCGGAACAAGTGTTGTTTCCAGTATTGTCCAGAAAAGCCACATCAGCAGGGTGGTGGCGTCACCTTGAACCCCCGTGCTCGGAAGACAGAGCAGGTGGATCTCTGTGAGTTTGAGATCAGCCTCATCTACAGAGTGAGCTGCAGGCCGGCCAGAGCTACACAGACCAGGTCTCAAAAAAAGAGAGAGAAAACCAATAGCAGATCATGTTCTGCACAGCACAAACGGAAACCATGAGCCTTTTCCACATCTGGGGTTCTACTTATTTCCCTTGGATACTTACTAATCTTTTTCATCCTTTTCTTCTATTAAATTATAAGATGGTGCTCTGGAAATGTGGCTCCGCGGTTTGATACTTGCCTAGCTGGGTGTGAGGACCTGGCTTCAGTCCTTATTGTGCCCTTAAAGGTTTTACAGAAGAGGCTGGAGAGAGAGCTCAGCAGTTAAGAGTGCCTGCTGCTCTGTCAGAGGACCTGAGTTCAGTTCCCAGCACCAGCATCAGGGGGCTCCCGACCACTGCAGCTCTCGCGCCAGAGCATCCGATATACCTTTCTGGTCTCTGATGGCACCTGTGTATACCTGTGGCGTATACACACAAAGACACACACACACATTAAATACATCCATAAAGCTTACAAAAAACCAGGCCAGGAGAGATGGCTCAATGGTTAAGAGCAGTTCAGTTGCTCTTACAGAGGGCCTGGGTAAGGTTCCCAGCACACACAGCAGCTTACAACAACCTGTGAACTCATAGGCACCAGACACATATGCGGCCCGACACACATATGCAGGCAAAACACTAATACATAAAAAAATAATAATAATAAGTCATTCTTTAAAAAAAAAATTGGCAAAAAGCGAACTAACAAACTAAGAACCCTGTCTGTAGAAAGCCCTTTTTCTCAAACTTAACACACGCCTCGCCCAGTTCTCAAGGGTTCAGATACTCTACTTTTCAGCTCATTCATGCATTGACAAAAATATGCAACACATCATCAACCAAGACAGTGAGATCCGGTTACCTGAGGCGCTTGGTGGGGTGGTGGGGCTAAGAGCTGAAAGCACCTACACCTCCGATATGGAGGGTGTGTAGCAACATTCACACCCCAACTCCAGCATTTTGATACAGGGTCTCTCTGGCCAGGTTGGCCTTGAACTCAATGTATGACCTAGAATGACCCCAAACTTCTGATCCTCCCACCTCTACCCCTAGGGTGCAGAGATACCAGACATGCACCACCATCAGGCCCTCTTCCCCACCCCCTGAGACAGTATCTTGCTATATAGCCCAGGCTAGACTTAAACTCATGATCTTCTTGCCTGAGCTTCACAAAGGCTGGGATAACAGGCAAGGACAAAAATAAATAAATAATAAATGATAAAAAAAAATATTAAGAAAAGTGCATTTTCTTTTCATAGAGAAAGGCATTTAAGTAAAAGTCTCATAAAAACACACCGAGGGATCAGCTCCTCGCCTCCCTGCAATAAGAAAAAGCAGGGGCTTAAGGAAGGTGGGATACAGTCTGCGTTCGAAGACAAGGGAGTCTTGACTCAGAATTATAAGTAAGCTAATCCTAACATATTTTACCAAAAACTGAACTCTACAAAGCTTACGCCAGAGCCACTTGTATTGTTCTCCAGGGTTTCACACACAGCACTTTGCACGGCAGCTTCCCTTCCCCTGACTTGCCCAGTCCTTTTTCGGCTGAACAGGACCTAGTGGAGGAAGAAAACAAGTTAAATCGGGTAGTGGGTAGAGGGCCAGGAACAAGCCTGGAGCTTCTGATTGTTCTTGTAGAACCCCACTCCCAGCCCACCTACTAGGCCACCACCATAGTGGCCTGCGCCTGAGAGTTTAAGTCAGCCTCTCGTGACTCTCCTTCTCAATGACCACTTTATTTGCAGCAGGAAGAGCTAACTTACTCAGTCCAGAACAGGCTGTAAGCACCTGGGCTCTGGGGACTCATGGCACAAGGACAAAGCTGACCCACAGGGTAGGTGTGTGTGTGTGTGTGTGTGTGTGTGTGTGTGCGTGCCCGTTTTTAATGAGTAGATCAAGAAAAATACATATTAGAGAACAATCATTCCCGTGAGGAAAACTAAAAGAGAAGGGCAGGAGGAAGAGGAGAGAATTCCCAAGGCCTAGCAGGCCACAAGAAAGGAAGGGTTTGAATGTAACAGTCTGTAGAGGTGTTTCTAAAGCAGACAAGAGAAATGACCAGATTTCTGCTTTGTATACCTTCACTGGGCACCAGGTATGGAACTAACTGCCTAAGGTGAGAGCAGAGGGAGCAGAAGTTGCTGCAGAGGATAAGTCCACATCAAAAGATGCCCGCAGTGAGGGAGTGACGGCAGGAGAGCCTTATTCCCAGGCCCGCAAAACTAGGTTAACCTAGCAGCATAAGTACCATGTTAGTGCCTCTGATGGTTAAAATGCTGGTTTATGACACACTTAGGCATGTTATATTTTAGTGCAGACTTCTGGGTATTTACAGAGGATTGGTTCCATAACCATACAAATGCAGCCCATACACTTTGAATCACTTCTAAATTGTTTAGAATCACTAGGCAAGCACTCTCCACTGAGCTGAACCTCGGCCTTGTATCTAATGTAAGTGCTACAGAAATATTTGTTATGATGCATTTATTTAGAAAATAACAATAAAGGGGAAAAGTCCCTTTGGTACAGTGGAACTTTGGTTTTGTTTTTTACAACACAGCTTTGAAAATCTGGGGTTGTTTGAATCTGAGTATGCAGAACCCACTAGATGTGGAGAGATGACTGAATATATAATTGCGTATTTATTATTAATTTTTAAAGTTACTTAAAAATAAGATCTGCATACCCACAGATCCCTGCATAGCACTAAGGCCTTTGCAACTTTTCAAAACTTGCTTGCCAGCATCAATCCAGGAACTTGAGGGGGAAAAGAACCAGTTAGTCTTTGATAGCTACTGCTATTCTGGATGCATGTACTTAAGCAAATGGTTCTTGCTTCTAAATTATTCATGCATAAAAATGAGCCAGGGGAGGCTTCCTGTCAGCCGACTGTTAGACAGGTTCCTCAAACGCAAAGACTGCCAAAGGCGGATCACAGCACCCTCCCTCCAGATCTGCACCTCTCTCATCTCTCCTACTCAGGCAATTAAGCCATCAATGGTAGAAACCAGAAAGTCATCAACCCCACATTATTCTTCAAGCCCCCACATCCAATTAAGTACCACAATCCCAGGGTACATGGCGGTGTGCTCTGCCTCAGCTCTGTAACCAGCCCCACATTTTTGAGGGGACTAATGGCATTCTTTCCACATGAATGTGATGAATCCTCAATCTATAGAAAATGCCCAAGTACACAGTTTGACACATTTAAAGAATCCACACACCCACTGAAGATACTATGTAGATAAAAGGCCTTTGCCTTAAAAAAAAAAAAAAAAAAGTGTGTGTAGGCACATGATTCCCTCTGGAGCTGGTGTTGAGCTGCTGGATATGTGTGCTTAGACCTGAACTTGGATCCTCAACAAGAGCAGTAGAATGTCTTAAGCACTGAGCCACCTCTCTGGATAAGTGATCATGTCCTAAAGGACTCCCTGTGGCTCTAAGATCTGGCCTCACATTTTAGAAAAAAAAAAAACAAAAAAAACAAAAACAATGATTTCTTTCAAACAGAGATCAGAGACCACTATTCAGCCTGCTGGGAAGCTTTCAAATCTCTCCACCAAGACATGCAGGGTTCTCCAGCCACTCTTCTCTAAAGCTTCGCTCCCCACTCAGTTCACCTCTCAGGCACGCAAAGCAGTCTTGGTTCTCTGCGGTTCTAGGCTCCCTGTGTGTTCTTGTGCTATGCTCCAACTTTTCCTCCCACAGAACTCTCACTCTCTCAACTAACTAATCCAAGGCGAGGCGAGGCTAGAGTTGTCAGTGGATAGACAAGACAGTGGAGGACGGCATGCTACAGAGTTCTGAGAATTGCCTTGGGAGGTGATATCCAAAACACAACTACTCTGAACACCCAACATCGCCAATTGAAGCACCAGGCGCTCCAGAAACCGCTAGCCCTTACTCCCGCCCATCAGGAGCAGCTGGTCCCCCGGGTCATCTGAGCCTCCCCAGCAGTGGGAACGCCCAGCTGCGTTCACATGAGGCAGCCAAGCCAGAGATTCAATAAGTTGCCCTACATCACAAAGTTAACTTGGGGGCCCAGACAAGAACAGGCTTCCAAACCTCTTTGCACACATGCCTCGCACAAGTGAGGATCTAGACAGCCAACTCCAACCCCAGTGTCGCGGTGCAGCAGCAATCGGAGGGAGGCCTCAGGGCCCGTGATGAGCCTGGACCTCGGGGAGGCAGGCGGTAGACCTGTCAGGGAGGGTACCTCCCTGACCGGGCACCGAGGTTCCTCTTCCTCTCCCCGGTTTACACTCGGTCCGCGCCTCCGATTCGGGACGTGGGGGAATGGGGAAAGGCGGGCTCCGGGGAACCCTTCCACCCACCCGCGCCGCTGGGTTCGGCTGGGGCGAGGTCCGGTTCTCACCTCGCCTCTTCGGCTCGTCCCCAGGCCGTCCGCGCCTCGAGGAGTGCAGAACGGTTCAGCAGCGTCGGCCGGGCGGCTACTCCAGTTCGTAATCCAGCGCCAGCTTTGCCAGGTCTCTTGCACTGGTCCGCTAAGCCACGCCCCAGATATGCGCAGGCGCAGTCCTTAGGCCGCGCCTCCAGTTCCTTAACTTCGTCGCGGGGAGCCTGAGGAACCTGGTTCTCCGACCGGAAGTTGGAGGGAGGAGTCGAGCGCCGAAAGTATTAGGGTGCCGGAAGTTGTGTGTTGGTTGGTGGTCGGGGTTTTTTTTCTTTAGTTTGCTGTGCCTGTGCTTTCAATTTAGAGACTGCGGCGACGGATTCGTGGTCCACGCTGCTCCTGAGACTGCCAGGATGTCTGCGATTCCTGCAGAGGAGAGCGACCAGCTGCTGATCCGACCCCTGTAAGGGACGAGCTAGTGAGGGAGCGTGGCCCCCGGGTGTGTGAGAGCCAGGAGGGGTCGCCGCGGAGGCGGCTGCGGGTCCAGCCTCCCAGGCTCAAAGGGTTTGGAGAATGTTGATCTAGGGACCAGCTAGGTTGGAATGTCATTCTACTTTTCCTTCAGTCTCAGGGGAGGTTATGTCGGAGTTGGAAAAAAAAAAAATCCAGGCCATTGGGCGTTTTTATCAAGAAAGGGCTGCCAATTAGCTCAAGTCTGGATTCCTAACATCAGGGCACGCCTTGAGGGAACCGACAGGTAGAGGAGGACAGTGCAAGGAAGAACTGCATCTGACTCAATATTTCCAGGCCCCCACACGTGCTCAGATGAGCGGGGAAATTAAAGATGGGGTATGAATGTGTACCTTCAGAGCTGAGACCTTAGCAGAAGATGGGAGGAAATTGGAGAGGAGAGAGTACAGGTTCTACGGGGAGAAATTCAGCGCTGTATTACCATAAAAGCCTGGTTTTGGTGGAAATGGCTTTCAGTGTTCTGGAATGTTTTATAGGGAATTGCCTCACATGAAAAGGTGCAGAATGTATTGATAGAGATGAGTGATTTGATTCTACAAACGATTGCTGCTCGGTATGAAAAAACTAGCTGGTACCACCTGAATATGTACATTTCAAAAGATGGAAACCAGCTCCTTTACCCATTGTAAAGTAAGATTTACTGAGTACTTAACGGTTAATGTACCCAAGTGTTCCTGTCATCTCCCTACATACACTAAACAAGTACCAGACAAACAAATCACCAGGCCTGGCTGAGTTCATTGAGCTCACATCTTTGGTGAAATTGTAGAACAAGTGGGGAGTACTGTAATGAGTTTGCCTTGGAGGCAGACCTGAAAACAAGGCTTCCTGGCTAATACAGAAGTAGCCTCGTGTAGAAAACAACAACAAACAAACAAACATTGTGAGGAGTAAAGTTCATGGACATTGCTCAGTAAATGGCAGCCAATGACCATGCTCTGTGCTCTTTTGACATCTGTGACAGCACAGGTAGGCACTCTGCCGAGTCCCAGGAAAGCTGGAAATGGGACTTTCTAACAGATTGAGGGAAGCATATCTCACACATGCTGAAATGTGATTGATGTGTGAGCTAAGGCTTAGAGAATTTGTAGAAATTAAAGACAGTGTTGGAGCCAAAGTGTTCCAGAGATACATGAGAGTGGTTCCAACTCATGGCCAGTTTCACTCTGGCTTCAGTTAACAAGTTAGCAGATGGATTGGGGCTGGCTGTCAGGGTCCCCCCTTATGAAGGACCTTGAGCATTTATCACACCAGTCATAGTAAGCCAACAAGGAGCCACACCCCCTTTTAAAAGCACTCAGTGGGCCTTTGCTAGTGACCAGCTGAGCTGTCAAGAAGGGGCAGAGCAAAAACGTCACTTTTGGGTGAAGTGGCCATGTGTGTTTGCTGCAGTCAGTGCTCTGACAAGAAAAAAGGAAAAAACCACTCCAGTGCGGTAGATGAACAAAAATACGGACTAAGTTATGAGAATCTGGTGGGATGCCATTGAAATAGTGCAGTTCTGAGTGAAGAGAGCCTGTCACCAATAAAGTGAGGGGTCAGGGAGCAGGAAGAAATGGGTTTGAGGACTTCAGAAGTAAGTCTAAGGACTTTATAACTGATCAGATGGTACCTGAAGGGACAGTGGCGGGACACAGATCCCTTGGTTCTGCATGGGAAGTACAGCGGCAGAAAAAAATGTGATTTTGTCTTTTGATAGAAACTGTAAATATGCAACTCAGTACACAGCTTATAAAGCTGTGCAATTCAGTATCTGCTTGTTTGCTTTGGGAGAGAGTGAGTTGTCTTGTTTTGTTTTGCTTTGCTTTGGCATAGGCTCTGGCTATGTAGTGCACACTAGCCTGGAATGAAGTCATGACAGTTCTCGTGCCTCAGTCTCCTAAGTGCTAGGATTACAGGAGTGTGCCATCATGGTCAGTTTCAATAGATTTTAGTATATTTGAAGAGTTATATAACCTTTATTGCAACTGTATGCTTAATTCCAGAACCTCGTCATTATCCTTTTTTAAAAAACTCATTAGAAGTCACACTTGTTTCTCTCCACCCTCCGTAACCCTCTATTTTCCTTCTCTGGATTTGCCTTTTTGAGACATTTCATGTAAATAGAATCATACAGGATGAGCCTTTTCTGCTTGGTGTCTCTCATTTAGTAGAGCATTTCTAAGGCTTCTGGTTTGGGAATTTTTAATTTATTTGGTCAACATTTCAGACCCCATAGCAGAACAGCAGTGGACAGGGTAGACATGTCTCTTAATAGATCACCCATTTTAAAGTGTGAAATACTCCATAAAAGAACACACACCTACCTGTGTGGAGCTGTGTTCTGCTGCAGTGACATGGGGTGGCAGATGGAGGCTTGCTGTAAAGGATAAATTAGTAGGTAGTTGAGAAAGGATCTGAAAAGGTATAACCTGAGCTGAGACCCAAATGATCCCAAGGAGCCGTTGCGTTGGAAGTTGAGAGCTGAACGAGCCAGTCCAGGGTCTTGTGAAAAGTAGCTTGGCATATTAAAATATGAAGTAAATGGCAGATATTCCAGTAAAGAGGCTTAAATGTCAGGTATAAGTATCAGAGTCTAGAATTCAGAACAGTTTGGGCTTCAGGTAAAGACTGAATTCAACAGCGCGTCAGACACAGGAGCATAAAGATCGTGAAGTTGGGAGGAGGGCCCTGGAGATTCTTCAGGATATTAGCATTTAAAAGGGTAGAGAGAGCCAGGGCAGGTGAGTGGGAAAACCTGGGAAAGCTCACAAGATAGACCGAAGTGTGGAATCAGAAAAGCCAGGAAGCGCTTGAAGAAAACCTTAAAGAAGCAAGGTAATAGTTGCCAAGGGGACCAGTTGGATTAAGGACCAAATAGAGCTGCTTGCAGTTAGCAGCAAGAACAGTCTCAGAAAAGTAGCTGGAAACAGCTAGTGAATGGAGTGGATGGAAGGGGAGGACATTCGGACAAAGAGATCTGTGGGGAAGCTGTTTTAGAATGAAATGGGAATTCATGGAGATAAGGATCAAGGAATTTTAATTGGAGGCAAAAAATAAAAAACAGTCATGAATAAGTTTATTCACTTATTATTTGAGACAGAGTCTCACTGTGTAGCCCTGGCTGTCCTGAGCTCTATAGGTCAGGCTGGTCCCGGAGCCTTAGAGCTCTGCTCAAATGACAACTCTGTTCTCTGTCTATCTCCCAAGCGCTGGGATTACAGGAAAACACCATCCCTAGCATTTCTTACTCTCCTAATCCGTGGCTAGCCCAGTGGGCGTGTCTCCACCTCATGCCTGTTTGCTGCTAGACTACAAGGTCTTTGAGGTCTGAGCACTGTATTGGATACATCCTGTCCTGTGCTTAAGGGCACCAAGAGAATTGTGAACTAGATATTTGGGGGAAATATATCCACGAAGCTGTTACATTTAGCTTAAGGTGTACCTGAAGGGGAAGTACTGAGACCATGGTGACCAGGCTGCTTGGTAGGATGATCTCAAGGTGAAAGGATTTTTTTTTAACAGGATGGCTTTATTTGAAATGGCTGTCCTGGAAGTCTTACGAGGCTGCTGGTTTACATCTTAAACATCCCTCAGCTCCCCAGGATTGCTTTCCACCTTTTCTACGGTGCCGCTCATCCTCTGTTTGAATCTGTCTCAGGCATTTTGACAAGTGCTGTCGCCACTTGGGGGCAGTGTAAGTTGTAAAGGAGTTTGAATTGATTATGTTGAATGGTACTGGGGTAGAGTGAGACGGGGTCTTACTGAGCACTTGATTTATGTGCTGTAGCCTCTTAGTGTTGGCATCGTAGGTGTGTGCCACCAACCCCAGCTTTGAGCTGCTTTGATTGCTTTTTAATCGTTTTGTTTCTCTCCTTTGAATGTTTGCAGTGGTGCTGGGCAAGAAGTGGGAAGATCATGCATTATTCTGGAGTTCAAAGGAAGGAAGATCATGGTAACTGTTACTATTGCTGTTATTGCTGTTTGGCACTAGAAATTGAACTTTGGGCTTTGTGCATGCCAAGCATGTGTTCTGCCACTGATCCCGCCCCTAGCCTGGGTACTTATTATTTATGCAGTCAAGAAAACAGTGTAGCTCTGTCCGGACTGGCGATAGGTCTGTCCTGGTGAGCCAGTTACCCTGTAGGGTTGCCTGAGAGAGGTGTGTACCCGTATGTAGCTAACACTTTGGTAAGAGAAAGACTAACAGTCTGCTTTGTAATTAAGCATCAAAAGATAACTTAAGAGTATAGAGCTGCCAGCCAACTCTGCCAAACTCTTGTCTCTTCAGAGTCTTCTTGTCTCTTCAGAGTCCTCGTCCATGCCCTGGTCCAGATAACCTGAGGACCCCACCCCTTTAGAAGATTCAAGGAATTAACTGCCCTGAATGTGCGTCAGCGTTGGCCACCCCACAAGTGGCATCAGTCTTGCTAGAGCTCTGTCAGGGCCATCTCCTTGCCTGAGAGGTGGAAGGACCAGGAACGCTGGTTCCTAGGGTCCAGTGGAGAAGACGGGCCACTGGCTCTTGTTCCTTTGGTTCACCTCTTTCTTCCTTCTCTCAGTCTTAAGAAAATGGCACTGGCACGTGTCCACCAGAGTCACCTATTTAAGCAATTATTTTATGTGTATGGGTATTTGGCCTGTATGGATGTCTGTGCACCATGTTTGTGCCTGGTGTCTGGAAACCAGAGGAAGGCATTGAAACTCCTAGAAATGGAGTTGTAGATGGTTGTGAGCCACCCTGTGGGTACCGGGGGTCTAACCGAAGTCCTCAAGAGTGACCCGTGCTCTTAACCACTGAGCCATCTCTTCATATCCTTCCAGAGTGGTTTTGTTTGTTTGTTTGTTTGTTTGTTTGTTTGTTTGAGACAGGGTTTCTCTGTATAACCTTGGTTGTCCTGGACTCTCTTTGTAGACCAGGCTGACTTCAAGCTCTCAGAGATCTCTGTCTTTGCCTCCTGAGTACTGGGATTGAAGGTGTGAGCCACCACGCTGGGCTTCCCAGAGTCATTCATTTAAGCATTTATTAACTTGGTAATAAAACTCCATAGAATAAATCCCTAGTCCCCAAGCTGTAGGAATGTGTTAATAGTGCTCTCCTTGGTGGGAGAAGTGCTCAAACCTACAACCTTGTAAATGTCTGCCGACTTCTGAGAGCAGAGTGAACCCCAGCAATGGCTTGTACTTTGTATCCTGGACAGCTGTCTGCTGGATGAGTTTTGATCAGCTCTGAGGCAGCTTGTGACCTGATTTCTTTGTTTGGGTTTTTCCTCCTTCAGCTGGACTGTGGGATCCACCCTGGCCTGGAAGGAATGGATGCTCTTCCTTACATTGACCTCATTGACCCAGCTGAGATCGACCTTTTGTTAATCAGTCAGTAAGTTGCCCTTTAATGACAGCACCACTGTTCAATCTGTTGATGTGAGGGTCAGTTTTCCCAAGTTTTAGTGTGGGTTTTTGGTTTGTTTCCATTTGCTTAGAGTGTGTGTGTGTGTGTCTGTCTGTGTGTCTGTCTGTCTGTGTGTCCCTGTCTGTTTATCCAGGTATAGGTATGAGCATGCATATCCACAGTGTTTATGGGAATCAGAGGACAGCTTGTGAAAGTGCTTCTCTCCTCCCAGTACGTGGTTGCGCTTGGGTGGCCAGGCTTGTTGGCAGGTACCTTTCTCCTCTGAACCATCTTGTGGTCAGATTTTGTTTTTTTGGTTTTTTTTTTTTGTTTTGTGTCTGTTTTTAATAAACTGGGAGTAGTGTTTCACATCTTTTGTCCCAGCACTGGGAGGCAGAGACAGGCAGATCTCTGAGTTTAAGGACATTCTGGTCTACAGTGTGAGTCAGCCAGAACTACGTAGTGAGACTGTCTCAAAAATAAAATAAAATAAAAATTTTAAAAAAAATCTGTTATGAAATGACACACACCTGCTTAGGGTGGTCCATCCTTTTTTCTTTTTTTTCTACATTTATTTATTTATGCATTTTATATATATGGGCATTTTGTCTGCTTGTACATCTGCACACCAGAAGATGGCATCAGGTAGTTGTGAGCTGCCGTATGGGCCCTGGGAATTAAACTCAGGACCTTTGGAAGAGCAGTGCATACTCAGCCACTGAGGAAATTTCCAAGTCTAAACCAGCGCTGCTTCCTCATCGGGCTAGAGGAGCTAGGAAGCATCTGTGTGTCATCAGCGAGAGGGCGGAGCTTGTGTCTGCCACGAGTTCTCAGTGGGAAACCAAGGAGGCCCTCTTGGGAGCTCTTTGGCCTTGCTTTCTTGTCACTTAAAGAGGGTGTGGTGGTACGCACCTGGAGCCCAACACGCAGGATGGCTGACGATGGAGGGAGGCTGAGGCTAGCGCAGGTGACTCTGTCTTGAAAACCTTTGTTTAAAGATAGTGAAGTCAGATGGCACACGCCTTTAGTCCCAGCACTTGG